ACACTTGACATGCTTTGAGAGCATGTTCACAGATGAAGAACTTATCGCCCCAACAGAACCACTGAGCTGCACCTGCGACACGCAATAGCGCCATACACGTGGGAGGGTTCATTGTCAAATTTGACACTTCAAGAAAGGGTTGATGAAAACTGCTGTGTGCTGGTTTATCCTATCCATGTTTACTTTCCTATCGGTTCTTGCATAAGATTTACTGTTTAGCGTATCTTTGCTTTGGTGTGTTACGTTTAATTTGCAATGAGACGTCTTCAACATGATGAACGTCTACGTGCTATTGGCATGCTTCAGATGGGTTCTACACATCGAGCAGTAGAAATGAAATGAAATGGGGTTTAACGTCCAACTTTTCTGCTACGAACTGGGCTAATGAAGACGGGCATATGCCCTACAGTGTGCTATGAGGGAAATTTTGCCCGGACAGCGGCACTGCAGCCTACTCTTATATCAAATTCCAACTGTCGAGGGATCTTTTACGTGCACGCCAATGTGTACACAGAACCTCGGTTTTTCATCCCATCCGAACGACTAGACAGCTGTTCTTGTCAGGCCCTCCGTCCTGCATCACTGACAAGGGGGAAGCACAGCGGAAAATCTGGATGAACTTTCTCGACAAATGCAAGGATCAAACACCTGACCTCCAGCTGGCGAGCCAACGTCTTACCCACTTAGCCACCGTGATCCCGAGTGAGCAGTAGCCAACATGCTTAATGTGTCACAGTCTGTGATCAGCAGCCTGGAACTGGTGCCAACAAACACACAATGTTGATGATAGACCTCGTTCTGGTCGTCCTAGAGCCACTACACAAGCCCAGGATCCATAGATTCGTACACAAGTCCTGCGAAATCGAGGACAAACGGCCAATCAGCTTTCTGTAAACTTGTACCAAGTTACAGGAATTCGAGTTACACCCCAAACGATTAGAAATCGGCTACATGCAGCCCATTTGCATGCGCAACGACTGCGTGTTGTGCCTCCATTAACCCGCAAGCACATGGCAAACATTAAAACCAAAAACGTCCATTTTCACTTTTGACAGTGTATCTCTTTGCGAGTGAAATGGGGCCGCCCATATGAACTGTTTATGTTCATGTGTAGATAATAACTGGCCTGTTATTAACATACACTGGTTACCTCTAATAAAAACAGCAGCGCATTTCCGCAGTTTTGTATTGTTTCTGAATATCCCCTACTTTTTTTTTTAAGAGTATATTATAGGCTGGCAACTAAAGTGGTTGATCTGTTAAGTTTCTCCTAACTATTATTTTTAATGCCTTAAGACTTAATCCTTCAATAGTTATATGTTTACAAGTATGTCATTACCTTTTATAGTAACTAATTCATATAAAAAGAAAAATGTATTTCAGATGATTCATTAGTTGGAGAGGTCAGCTTAGGGAACCTATATACTAGTTGGAGGTCCTATTTTTAGGAAATTATAAGTTGTTTAATTGTTGCTGTTATTTGCTCCTGAAATAAGGTGTTGAAGATCCATTCCAAGAATCTGTATTCATTTCTGATACTTAGAGAACATATGTCGGCCAACTACATTCCCTGAAGGTCGTATGGTGTTACATGTATGAAGAACACATACATTCCTTTTTCAAACACAACATTAGTCTTGGTCACCCAGAACCCCCTAGTCTTCAACGTACACAGGGTCTGGGATTGTCGGCAATATTTGACAAAAAGTTCCATTGCCCATGCGTAGCTGGGAGTTTGTTTTTTTATGTGGTTGATTATCCAGTATCTTTGGCCAAGTCAAGTAAGGGTTGCACCCCTTCATGCAATAAATCCAACAATTCTTGCATTAATATACTATTCAAAAAAAGTAGGGGATATTTGATTTTGGGGGCATAATACTAAAATATGCAAATGACTACAAAAAAAGTTACTATAGAACCTAACAGAAGAAACATTTCCAGTTACATGTGACGCCCAAACGCACCAATAGCTACCGCATGGAATGCAGGTGATGCTTGGGATCATCATGGGGGTCCAACCCAAGATTTGCACGACTCTGACTTTGAATGTTACAGTCATTGTGGCATTGAATTCCAGGGTGGAAACATCAGTTTAATTGTTTTAGTGACCAGAAAACAAATTTTGATATGCGTCGGCTTACCCAAAATGAAAGGTTACGTGCCCTTGGCATGCTACAGATCGGCACAACACAGGCGGTTGTGGCGCGGACGATGAATGTTTCTCAGTCTGTCATAAGCAGGCTATGGTCCAGATACAGTGATACACAATCTGTACAGGACAGACCACGCTTAGGTCGACCAAGGGCGACAACTCAAGCCCAGGATCGATTTATCCGTACCTTGGCCTTGAGAAATCGTGTCATCACAGCAAATCAGATCAGCGCTCGTCTTCAAACAGACACTGGTGTGAGAGTGAGTGGCCAGACGATTCGGAATCGACTGCATAGGGGTCACCTTCGCGCCCGACGTCCTCGCGTGATCCCTTGTTTGAGAGATCATCACATTCAGGCAAGACATCGTTGGTGTAGGGATCGTCAACACTGGGATAATCGACGCTGGAGCAATGTGATGTTTTCAGATGATTCAAGGTTCACTGTTGATTTTTTGGACAGACGTAGGAGGGTGTGGCGTCGTCGAAACGAGCGTTTCCAAGACGTTAACGTCATCAGACATGATCGATTTGGGGGTGGTTCTGTTATGGTGTGGGGAGGCATCACTGTTGCTGGAAGAACGGCTTTACATGTTGTTGCAGGGCGTGTTACAGGCCAGTACTACCGGGACAACATCTTGGCAGTTCATGTTGTGCCGTTCGCACGACGTCATGGCCGCCGTTTCATCTTCCAGGATGACAACGCAAGATGTCACAGGGCCAGGATCGTTACAGGTTACCTCCAACAACAGAACATCATCACATTACCTTGGCCAGCACTGAGTCCCGACCTCTCCCCCATCGAGCATGTCTGGGACATGCTTGGACAGAGCTTACGTCAACGTCAACAACGTCCTGCCAATGTCCAAGAACTTGCTGCTGCGTTGCAACAGGAATGGGACAATCTGGACCAAAATGACCTTAGACGTCTCATTAGGAGTATGCCACGTCGGATCAATGCTTGTTTGGCAAACAGAGGAGGATTTACCTGTTACTGGCTTGGTTGTGATGCTGTGGTAACTTTGCTGTTTGACCCCGGGTATCATTTTACCCTTATAATGGTCAGTCTGTGCCTTACTTAGTCTAACGATCATTTGGAATAAATCGATGAATGTGAACTTCATTTCATTTTGTCATTTGTTTCTACGTCAGTTTCATTAGGTGACTTTAATAACACTTAAAAATCAAATATCCCCTACTTTTTTTGAATAGTATATAAACAAACATGAATCGTGGCGCCGAATTAGGATTAATTAAAAAAAACAAAAACATAGATATGGCCCATGAAGAGAGAAATTTTAAAATCAAAAAATTAAGGGTGTTGGATATTGAACTGCCAATGCAATCAAATGGATTTTCTGAAATGGCATTCTTTAATTAATTTCATGGGTGCCAACATCTTGTTTTAAGACTAGTTACGCCCCTTAGACTTTGTTTATGATAATGTAAAAGACTGGTTAATCTAGCCAATAAACCACAATCTCATCAACAATCACATGCCCTAACACTGTACATCTCGTGACCTTGATGAAACCTGCATTTGGCCTTAATATTTAGACATAACCCAACATTAGGATCAAATCAGTGTCCTATTCACAAAGCCACTGTGTCAAGTGACAAGCAAATACATCATGAGAGTAAATTTGAAATGGTTAATTGGTGAGGGTCATAGCTAGGGGATCTGCTGTCCCACCATATTTCAACACGCCCACTTTAGCAACTGAATATTTTAATTTAACCCTGTTTTATGTTTATTGTCGTGATCTCTAATCCTTATTAATTTTTCTCTTTGTCGCACAAGCAATATGTTAGACAGATTTTAGTATGGAAGTTTATATCTAGCCACATACATTTGACAATGATTGCTTACCCTTGTTATGGGATCCTTGAGTTGATATCTGACCGTTTCAGAAACAATTCTTATTTGTATTGGTTTAACCTGACACTCTTCTCAGAAGAACTTCTTCAAGTTCTTGTTTGTTTCGCCCCCTCTCCACTTGGCCTTTTCTAAGTTCGTCTTGCACTTCCATCATAATAATTAAATGCAATTATAAGGAACTCACCTTTTGATATAGTCTCCTCTATCCGCTTAGCAATATTCTCCTGGTTAATTCTGTTTTTAAAGTCAGTGATTCGATTCTACAGAATTAAGAACAAGAAGAACTAGGCCTATGGCTATTTACAACAAGACATCTCTGGGTCTGATTTTTGTCGTCTGTTTTGTAATGTAGTAATGTACCGTACCGTAATATGTTTCACAGACAAATATCTGATTTATTTTTTCCCAATAAAACGTTGTTTGTGATAAATTGAGATAAATAAACAAATTTAAAATGAAACAGATGTAGGCCTAAGCAGATGTAACGGTATCCAGCTTGGAAAATATGATGACAGTGATGAAGAAAAATGGATAAATGACGCAACTCTTCTCAGGGGTAAGAAGGAGACGAGAAAAGCATCATGCGTAACTGAGGCTGTATGTTTATTAGAAGTTCGAAATTCGATATTAGATTTTCTGTATAATAGAGGAATATATAATTTACATCGTCATTTACTTTTAAAATTTTAATATATATAATTTTATCACTTTTAAATCTTGTATTTTGTTGTTTAATATTAATCTGAAACGAAGTTTGAATATCTAATGACGAACATCAAAAAATATAAATTTTGTTACTCACTCTGTTTCGTATCTAATGTGAAAGGCACATGCTTATGTTTATTGACAAAATATTCCCAGGTCTATAGCATGGCATTAAAGAACTCACATTGGGAATCTTTTGAAATAACACAAACATATTAAAAATTTTCTTAACTACGGAAATACGGCTGCATATCTAGAAAGAGTCAACCAATCTCATGATTTGGAAGTAGAGTTGTTATCAATTGTGAATTTTCGTAATTTTACATGTAATTAATTGTTGTAAAAATGTTTTTAGGCGGCGAAGACGAAGAACAAGACTTTGTTGCTCCAGGAGGAAGGTTTGTATAGTTAATTTTATTGAAAAACATGAATTATGTTGTAAAAAGTCAAGGATGCAGACGACGTTTTATCATAATAAAAGACTAAAGAGGCCAAGAGAGGGGTGTGTGCTTAGGCCTAGTGCCAGTGGGCTACTTACTAGACCTAGTATCGTTACCTATTCCACGATTGTCAGTTGCAAAAGTATTTTGTCACTAATGGTTGGGGATTTTACCCATTTGATTAATGCATCTTTTCAGAAAAACATAGAAAGATAGAAAACTTTAAAATATCAAAATGTGTCAGGATTAAGTCGTTTTGTCAGATTAGTCTTGCAGACCATCATCATTATTGTCATGTCATTGACAGTGACCAGGGAATTTTTCTGAAATATATTTTTCAGAAATTATAAACCATTACGGAATAACTTCTGGTAAACTTCGATGATAATAATAATAATAATCGTTTTCTATAGCACTGAACATTCAGTCAGTCTGACTGCTCTGTGGGAATTTAACTTGAACACATTGATATTATATAAGTGGATAGCCTTGTAAACCAAAATGATTTAGGGCTAAAACGCAGTGCAGGAGTTGGTAATTAATTTCAAGAGTCTATATCAGATACTAGCTATACTATAAACTATGTAAGTTGAAAAATCCTCAATGCAGATGACTAGAATATTTTGAATTCATTAAGATAAGGAATATCATACATATATGTACCATTACTTTTGAGTGACATATGTTAAACATGTATTTAGCTAGTTTTTGTATTATATTTTCAGTACAAAGCTTGGTTCCTTATTCAGTTTAGATAAATCATCAAATGTGGGTGGAAATTCATCTTTGACTTACACTGCACCAAAACAACCAAAGAAAAAAGGTATTTAGGTTTCATGAAGCAGTTTTTGAAGAAAAATCTAACATGGAAGCCGACTGACTAACCTTGCATTCAGTACTTCTTGTAATATCTAATTCAGTGCATGTTCCAAAAGCAATTAGTGGATGAGATAGAGTATGCTTTACATTTCTTGAAGGCCTTTCTAATCTTGTATTCATAAAATTATGCTGGTTAATGTCCTTTATGGATCACTAATTTATCCCTATGTAACATACCAATCCTCTAACAACTTGAAACATATTTTGTTTTTGTTTGGGGGGGGGGGGATTAGGCCCTATATGCATTGTTTTAAAGGAGCTAAGTCTCTAACTCAATATTATCCAACATCTTCAACATTGAAAACACGATTTATTTGTCAAATTAAATCAACATTCATGTTGTGATCTTACCGGAAAAAGATGGGCTTTTGATATCCAATATTTAAGACAAAATAAACATTTTACCATTGGTACACGAATCGTGTACCATAATGCGCTTCAGCCCCAGATGTATCAAGAGACTCGAGGGATGAGGCTAGACACATTGCACCAAATTAAACGGCGTATGTAGACTGGAATAACCAGATGCTAGAAATTTGCACTCACTTAACACTGCTGGCTTATTTCGCCAAACATAACTGATTTGAAATTGGAGTAAAAACGGAAACCATTGAATGTAAATCAGTTTATATACACTCATATTACAGTATTATATGCGTTGCGACCCACTTTTGTCAATTTCTAGGTCCCAAATATTAGCGATTTAGCTCCTTTAAATACAGCACTGATTATTTGTCAGAGGCACCAGATGCTTGTTAATAAAGTGACCATACAAATATACAAATAAACAAAAAATAATATCTGATTTTAATTAGGCAAAGTCAGTATCATGTAATTTACCGGTTACAAATTTTTCTTACCATCTCATACAAATCTTTCTAACCATCTCATACTTGTACTTGTATTGTAGAAAGTGGACCAGAGAGCGGAAGTGGACCAGCTGTGTTAGTAGCTAGTGTTGTACATGCTTATAAATAGTAAGATATATTTTTTTAACATTTAGTGTTGTTGTCATCCCGACTTTCTAAATTATTTGTTTGTTTAAATGTTAGTCATCATCAGGAACCTTCTTTAAAAATCTGTATCATTATTAGAAATAAAAGCAGTTGTTCTTTTTCTTTCATCTGTCCGAACCTTCAGTATAAAAAGCCTTAAGCTTAAAATATTTTAGTATTCAATAGTGCTTATATCAATTTTCCATCAACTTTGAGATATTTTTTCAAGTGCATATAATTAAAAGTTAATATGGGAATAACTTTATTCAATAATTCTTTTGTTTTTTAGTGTTGATGGTCGATATGCCCTACAAGGTAAATTAGGATGTGCCTTATTAGGAAATGCTGCAAATAAAGATGTAAGTAATTAGGGTAGTGGAATATGAAAAAATAAAAATAGGGAAATATTTTGTTTTCTGCAATAATTTGCTAGTCTCAATCATTCTAGCTATAGTATAGACCTACTCTCAGTTGAATTATTGAAATAAAGTCCCGAAATGATCTCTCTCTCTCTCCCCCCCCCCCCCCCCCCCCCGACACCAAATTTAGTATTATTTTATCCAGGGAATAATATTGTACAAATGTCTAAATAGGAAAAATGTATACTATCAACAAGTTGTCAAATAACTGAAGGGTTTATTCTGTTTGATTTCAGTATAAGATATTATTATACATCAGTAAAGAGAAACAAGTAACTAATGCTACAATAACAGCTTCCACTACATTTACAGTAAGTACATCTTAGATTAAAGGCGATGGTTCATCTGTTACAACATTTTAAGGAAAGATAGATTATGGCAAAAGTTACTCAGATCAACTCTGGGAATGGCAATGTTATTTAGAAAATAGATCAGATTTGATTTGCTGTTAACTGTTAATTGTGTTTTTACCCTTTGACAATTGCTAGTTTTAATTCTGCTATTGATGTCATGAATGCAATCTTTAACCTATCTAGATAGATGACCTCGATCATTATGAATATAGGGTTAGATCTTATTCTTACCTAGAGTAGAAAATGAGAACCATTAAAATGAATGAAATAAAAATATAATTTTAATTAGATTGGACATTCTTTAATCAATTTTAGCCACAAGCCAACAACTATGCTAGTTTTTATGATGATGCTAGAATCAGTTGGTCGATTATGTTTGATTCAGAAGAAAATGCTGTTAAATTTACGAAGCAGGTATTTCCACTGTTTATATCTTTTCATGTACAGACCTGTTGTTTTTGAGGTTGGGTGGGTGGAAGGGGTTCTTAGTATAATATACCGTAGTATATTATGATGGGCCGTATTTTCTGTGTTGATAATATATATGTATTACAGTAGCTTACATATTAAGTTTTCTTTTGAATTAAATTGTGTAACTAATCTGAAATGGAGTAGGATTTAAAAGTCAGTCTAGGGGTTTAATAGCACACGTGTAAAAGATATGTAACGTTACCTGCCTAGGTTTTCTTTTGGTACTACATTTGCCACTCACTTCTAGCAATAGATATAACATGCAAGTCCCAAATGATTTATTTAGTGTTGAGTGGTAAAATTTGTATACTCATTGTTTGTTTTTATGAGACCAAGAACACTGTTCATTTTCCACGATGACTGGTGCCTTGTTTGTATAATATATGTTAGCACTAGGAAGAACTGGAGGCCAAACAAATTTAATTATTTCCAATAATTACTTCATCATATCTGTCAGTTTTTAAAGTCTTGTGATATCCCATTACCTACAAAAGAATATGTGACAGTCCTTATGAACTGTTCGGAAAAATTAACTGCTGTGGGTGTATCTTTCGTTGCTTGGAAACTTATTTTCTGCTTTGTTGTAGATATGTTTAGCAAAAGCTAAGTCTAGTAATTTAGATAGTGTTATAAGTCAAGATATTAGTGTAGGCGAGGGTAGAAGTCTAGAGTCAGGTGATGCAGCAGAAGTACGATACACTGGTTGGTTATATACCAATCATACATATGGTCAGGTAATTCTTTAACTTGTCAGACCTCTCTAAATACATCACATCAGGCACAGTGGTGATAACATAGTTGTATCATTAATTTTACTTTGCACTAATCCTCTAGTATTCAGTTATAGCTACATAGACAGGAATACAGAGACAAAGTAGCATCATGACATCATTAATATTATTTTTGCTCCCCACTTATTTGAGCAGAGAAGTTAAATTACTCAATGCTTTATACAAAGATAAAAGTGCAAGTAATTAGTGAATGTCATCTATTTTGAGGAAGATTTTGGCTTATTTGCTATGATTTTGAGAATTTTATTTTATAAGCAAACTAGAGGTATATAATAACTCTTAGTAGCAGTTCATTGTTTACTTATCGACTTTTGGCTAGGATTTTTGACAGCCTGTTAATTTGAGGGGCAATGAAGAAATTCATTAAATAAAATATTAGGTATAATTCTTAATTTCTAGAATTATAATCCTGTTAAACCCATGAAAAGTCCTATGTGTTTGATAATACAGATTATGATCAATTATTTATATTTTCAGATGTTTGATAGTAATGCAAATTCTGATAAATTATTTCGTTTAAAGTTGGGTAAAGGTAAAGTTATAAAGGTAAATATAAATCATTATTATTACTGGAGTAAATTATTATATTACTCTGTGCAGCAAATTTGCAAATGAAATTTATATGTTTAGATATTTAAACCATTTTATTGAATTGGTTGGTTCTTAAGTTTAGATTAGTTTTATATCAGTATCAAGTAGACCATAAGGATGTGCCTAGGAAACTTTTAAAATATGACAAGTAGGTCAAATGAATTATGAATATATGCTTCTGCTAAAATGTTGCTTTTCTGATTTCTGATAATTTTTCCTAATTTGGCGTATCGGTATATGAAATGGAAGGAGTTGATGTATGCTTTTCTAAAGTTACTGGCAACATTTTTATTGTGTTCAATAAAAGCCTGATTAATAAGTTTGTCAAACTTTCTTATACAACTTACTTTTTATCTATATATTTTAGGGTTGGGATATGGGATTGATTGGTATGAAGAAAGGAGGAAAGAGAATGCTAATCGTCCCCCCTAATTTGGGCTATGGAGCCCAGGGAATGGGTGATAAAATTCCTGCAAATTCAACACTTATATTTGAAACAGAACTGGTTCGGGTAAGTAGAAATTTTTGTGATCAAATGAAAAAAGATTTATTTCATTTATATAATTACCATAAATTATTATTTCATTTCTATTGGTGAAGATGTAATGAATTCAGAGGTTTGATTCTCTGAAACCATAATTCCAGAGGAAATGTATTCCTGAATTTTAGAGAAAGGATATCATACCTTGTAATTGGCGTTCTATCACTAATATGCTAATAGGACAATGCCTTATGTTATTATTAATCTTGCATAGAATAGAAATGAAACACCCGAGTACTTTCAATTAAGTTTGAATTTTATGAGAAATTGAAATTACAATCTATAAACAAGGAAATTGACACTGTTGTATCTTTTTTATTAAGGTCTAAGTGTGATTTAATAGGAAATAAGTAATTTTTAAGATGATCTTTATGTGAGATGTATCTTTTAAAAAAATGTGTTCTAGGCCAAATTTCAAAAGGGAGATCAATCACCAGGTCCATCACCAGCACCTGTTCAACCCCACCTACCTTCTGTTACAACTGGTGAAGAAGAACCACCCGATTTAGATCAAACAGTCAAAGGTCGTACAAAATCAATCACAGAACACATGGCTCACGTACGTTACTATACTCTACTAATAATACATATACTTTACATCGATTCCTCTAGGGAGGATGGATGGCCGAATGGTTAGCGTGTTGTATCATAAGATCTGTAATTGAGTCAACTAGCATGGTTTTGATTCCCCGGTTACTTGTCCAACCTCGTGGGTTTTCTCCGGGTCCTTCGGTTTCCTCCCACTGCTAAAGACACCTACGCACAAGCAAATTATTGAAATAAAATTGAACCATATTAGTTTCAAAATGACCCGGTTTGTGTTGAGTGGATGTTAAACCCTGTTAAGCCCCATTTCTCTCTTTTTCTCTCTCTCAATTCCTCTATACAAATCATTAAAAATTTTATGAAAGAAATAGTTGAATTGGCGACTTCGTTGAACATCATTCAAATTATTTTTGAAGTTAATTATTTTTTTTTATTATCATAATGTGAAAGTGAGAATTATGGCTTGAAGAGCTGTCAGTTTTTATTCAACATCATTTGAATTATCATTCAAGTTTCTATTTTATTCAACATCATTTGAATGATTATTAAATTAGGTATTGTTGTTGAAGTGACCATTTGTTGTTTTGTTGCAGCCTGGGGATAGTGGTAAAGCTAAGTTGATATCACGCATGGCAAAGATGGGAAAACCAATGTTACCTATGCCCGGTGGGGGACCAGCTCCTACCGGAACAGCTTCCGATGATGAGGATGCTGTGAGTTTTTTTTTTACTTACTTTATATTGTAGACTTACTATAACTAGCACCACTAATTAGGTAGCCATTATAGTCGTTTGGATGGGACGAAAAAACCTGTGACAGTTGGAATTTGAAATAAGAGTACACCCTAGCGCTGGTGTACTGACAAAATTTTCCTCATAGCACACTGTATGGCGTATGACCATCTTTGTTAGTCCATTCGGTAGGAAATTAAACCCTATTTTATTCATTTTGTATTTACATTACCCAGGAAGTTGAAGAGCAATTCCAGTCACCTGGTGAAGATGATGGCAGTGTTGTACAGAAACCCCAACCACAGATACCTGTTCGTGTTCAACCAACTCCACCTTATCAACAACCCCACATGTTTACACAACAACAGCCACCTGCTGTCTCACCTCATACACCTCTACATTTCCAACAATATAATCCAGGTAGGCATATACCAAGATTTATGTGTTTTTGTGTTTCTGGGCCAATTGTTAGCTCATAGCCCATATTCTTTAAAACCTTTTTTTCATTGAAGACTATTCATTATCTAAAATCCATCAAGAAATAGATTAGAATTAGGTCATAGATAGTGAGATAAAAGTAACAATGAAGTATGCAATAAATCCTATCCCATGACCTTTAACTGTAGATATATATACATGTATATAGCATACCTTTAACATGTTGATTAATATAGAATGTATATCATATGACTGAAAATCTCACACCTACATATCACACATGATGGGATAATATACCTCATCATCTTTACTTATATATTTATTTAATTATAAGATTTTTGAGTGTTATCTTGACACACTCTAATTAGTTTAATGAGATATATTTGTTAATTCTTTTACATTTGGAAAACAGAAGAAAAATGTTTGGTTTGTGTTTAACTTTGTTGACATATTTAATGTTGAATAGATAGTGGTCTAGTCTACCTAAATTGGTCATTAATATCTGTAGATTACTTTCTAAACAAATTTTGGAATGAAATTTTTCATCGTAGATCAGTTTTCAGTGCAATGACCTTGTTTTATGAGACCGCATGTTTTGTATTTATTGTTGGCTACCATGCAACAAAGGTTTAACTCAGAGATCAGAAGAGGTTATTCACATTAAGATTTAGGACTGGATAATACTCAACTGTAGAGTCAAACTTTTGTGCAATTTCCTACGCAATTTGTGAGGTTGAAATAGATCCATAGCATGTTGTTTATTCTCTTCACTATAAGTCGGTTGCTTAAAATCTGTTTGATTATCTGTTTACTATTGAAGAATAAGAAAGCTAGATTCATTTAATGGTTACTGTTTTATAGATTATGCTAATGCATTACATAGTTAAATATACATTATGCAAGAGCTAAATCTGTCTTGTGGGGTTTTCTTTAAGCCTGAAATGTTATATAAACTATTAATTAGACATTTATTAACAAAACAAGACCATAAAAGACTCTTGATGGCATCGAATACTCAAGATTTTAACTAGATTAGAACGGTTAGCCATTTAAAAATTTAATTTGACAATGGGAAAGCGAGGCTGTCTCGAATGCATCTTGTCAAAACTACTAACAACAGTAATTTCATTGAAATTTTCAATATTTTCATTTTACATTATTTATTTTTGTATTTTTGAGCTGTTATAGCAAGAAAGGTCAGCTCTTTATCTAAATCTTACATAATGTATCTTTAAGTAAACATGTTAAACAAACAGATAGTAACGTATGGAAAAGTGTAATAATGTCTGGTCAACAGAATACTGTGTCATGGCAAAGGCAGAAATTTTGCCCATAAGATTATACTTCAGTTTACTGATCTTTTAATTTCTACTGCCAAGGGTTCGATTACGTGTATGTAACATTAGTAGATTGCCATGTCTCCTACATGCAGATAGAGGTTTAACTAAAGTTGAAAAGGAAAATGACCTTGGTTGAAGTTGTGCAGTCCATGTGTACATATTGGTGTTACAGATCAAAATTGAAAAAGTGCACACATATTAAAATAATAACCACACTTTTTTCCAAATTGACTGAAGTATGAAAATTTGATTACATTTAATACATGTTAATGGTGGATAAAATTATGACAAAAACATGTGTACTAAGTTTTATATACTATCAACATATTCTAAAGATAATGTTTGTACCAAAACATGAAATCTCTACAGTTGTTACATTGTAAATATTTGATATACAGTGTATGTTATGTTTTTTTTTGTTTTTTGCTGTCTAGCACAAGGAGGTAATCAAATGGCTCTTTATCAAAATCAGAATTACCTGCAACAACAGCAACAACAACAACAGCAACAACAGGCAGCTATGCAACAGGCTTTACAGCCACATGTATGTATTTTTATACACTCGCATATAATATGAAATTGATATGATATACTAGTAATCATCATTCACATCCGTCTGTTGGTCTGATATCTGGCTACCAGTGTAGAGGTTTGCCAGGATTGTTCATTGGATAATAAGGAATATCCCTTTCGAATTTCCCATAGTACTACCACTTGCTACTTGGGTCATGTATCGAGATGTTTCATATTACTTTCACTACAGTTTGGATTTACTTTTGCAATTGCAACTTTGAATGTCTGTACCGCCTGTGTTTAATTTGTTATTAAAATGCACTTATAAAATTCTACTCTTGTTTATTTAGGGTTTTCAGCCTACAAGTTATCAGATGGCACCATCTGGTATGATGAATACAGTTCCTTATTCAGGTAAGTTTGGAAACTTTTTTCTGAGGTTTAATTTCTGAACATAATCAAATTTAACATTCCCATTCTATAAAATAGGATTGGACATCATTGGATGGGATGAAATATGATTTTCCAAAGTTGATTAGTTTAAAGTTTCCTGTTCAAATTTGAAGAATTTAATAAATCTTTCCAAAGTTTCACACAATGCTCAAGATATATATATATATATATCTATCTATCTATATGGCTGTAAAGGGAAAATTTGATAGTGTATTAAGGAAATGCTGAAACAGAAAAACTTATATACAACATGAAAACAATAGTTGAAGGTAGCATCAATTGTGGTAGCTGTCAAGATTATTTGCCATTAAATTACGAATATCATATATTGTCAGTGCTAGTGTCCATTGCAATGGTAAAGATTATTTGCGAGGTATAGGTGTGAAATTTCATCCAATTCATTCAAACTTCACATAATTATACACATAAAGAGAAAATGTTTGGATTCTTCATAAATTTGTATTATTTCAAGAATTAATTCTTTTGAATTAAAGTAATTGATGAATTATTTTTTCAAGGTCCAAGTTCAACCCCTCCCAGTAACCAATCATTAGATGTATTTGGTCCAGTATTATTAACAGAAACACGTCAACAGAATACAGAAGTTCGAATGGCTATAAGTAAAATAGCTGATAAAGTAGACAAAGTTTATGATAAGGTGTGTATGTGTGTGTTGGGAACATTGTAGAATTCAATTCTAAGATGAGTACCCGGTAGACTGAATAATAAGTTCTGATCAGGCTTGGAAATATTGATTTTAGTTATACCTAAATAGCAATAGAAACATAGACAAATCTATGTCAGTCAAAATAACATCCACCATAGCCTATAGGGATTGTGTCTTACAAATTCTGACATTGTCTGTGTCAGGTGGCTCATTTCATTGAAAACCTTACTAAATTATCTCAGAAACTAGAATCATGATGAATGAGTTAAAATTAAAAGTGAGGTTGTTTGTATTGAGATTTATTGTATTACATTGATGTGATTTATTTGAATTTAGATTTATTGGATAGTTTTACATTTATGTGATGTTTGTATTGAGATTTATTGTATATTTTTACATTGATGTGATTTGTTTGTATTTCTTTCAGATGAATGATATACAGTCTATAGGTGGACCTAGTGTATCACATGGTGTAACCGCACCTAATATGGAAGTCAGTATATTAATACAAAATGTAACCAGAATAGCTACGGTAAATTTTAATTGCTGGCCTCTGATTTTTACTTTTATTGTATTGTTTTAGTTGCTATCCAGATCCATATTCCGCACAGCGTTTTCTTTGATAAATCTGTCACACTGCTGTGCCAAGCATATTTATTTCTGATTGTAGTTATTTCCCTTGCCAAAATACTTCATGCAGTTGATTTGTAGGGCTGTCCATGATGATTAGCTATTCATTCATAGAGCTAAATGACACTGGTTAAATTTACTGCATGTGCACCAAGGGCAAACTTCAGATAACATCCCATACCAAAAATGTGTCATCTAACCTGAAATGATGAGTAGTAAATATCAAATACTTAATTATGAAATATGTTTATTTTATCCTTTCCAACTTTAGCAGAAATGGGCTGGTTATTATACCATAAGAAAGATTAAAGTTTCTTTTCTAATATTTAACATTTTAACACTGACCACTGGACAATCAAATAGCTTTCTTAATTGACATATTATGATCGGAAAAATGTTGACTCAAGTTTCATTGCTACCTTTGTTACAATAATAAACAAAGGCTTGATTATCCATTTTTGAATTAAATTATTAAATAGTTGATCGTATTTCAATCTGTTAAAAATCACGACCATCCGATGCTCTAGTTTAATATGGGCATATCATGTAAATAAATGTCTAATTACATTTGAGGTTAAAAGAAAGACCTGCAATTGGCAGATTTAGCTCTTGCATAATGCATCTTTAATTATTTTTTAGTTTCAGTTTTATTTTGCACAAAGATAATGTGTGGTGACATTAAAATTTTTCATAAAGCTCTTTTATATTAGAACCCTGATTAATCCCGATTTGATTTTTAAATTCTTTTTTAATTATCACATAAAAATTTGGACTTGTTTATTGTAAATGTTTATTGTTTTTTTTTTTTAGGAAAATGAACAATTAAAGAAAGATGTATTTGAAAAAAGTGCTAAAATAGAATCACAAAATGATAAAATAGCAGAATTATTACATAAAAACCAAAGGTAAGACGTGTTGAATATTTTCTTTCATACGTTATAATGTAAGACATGTTGAATATTTTCTTTCATACATTATAATGTAATTTCCTAGTGATAGGAAAATGGTAGAAGCAAAACCGTACTAGTATGAAGATGCAAAAAGGTTTCTCAATTGTTCATGATGACTTCATGAACTTAAGGTCATCTCTAATTTTGTTTCCTTGATGACATTGTAAACATTTCATATAGTGAGAAACACTGATTAAAGAGAAAAGACAATATAAATTTCTCTGATCGTTACATGAGGTATCTAATCCCTTCCAAACTAGTACAATATTGTGTACTGTAAGTTGAATCTCTAAAAGAAATATCTGTCCAAAAATAGTTCAGTTCCCTTCAGGGCCCTTATTCACGAAAACTTAAACTAAGATACAATCGAAATTTGCTTGTGGACGCTCTAGAGGCTAAAGTTAATATCCGATTGACTTTAAATTTATATACAGTGTTTAAGGCCATGAAACGAAGAAGCCTATTTATTTTCAGCGATTTCCGATAATTACTGCCAGAGTTATGGCCCTTGATCACTTTTTAAAATCTTGTGGACGCTCTAGAGGCTAAAGTTAATATCCGATTGACTTTAAATTTATACACAGTGTTTAAGGTCATGAAGCGAAGAAGCCTATTGATTTTCAGCGATTTCCGATAATTGCTGCCAGAGTTATGGCCCTCGATCACTTCAAAAAATCTTGTGGACGCTCCAAAGTCAATATCCGGTTGACTTTAAATTTATACACAGTGTTTAAGGTCATGAGATGAAGTCTATTCATTTTCAGTGATTTTCGATAATTACTGTCACAGTTATGGCCCTTGATCACTTTGAAAAATCTTGTGACACTCTAGAGGCTAAAATTATCAGCCGATTTGCTTCAGATTGATACACAGAGTTTAAGAGCTTGAGACGAACAAGTATATTGATTTTCAATGAATTTTTATGACTTGAACAGCTAAATCCATGATATTAAAAACCGAACAAATTCTAATGGTTTTCTGATAATTACTTCATGAGTGTATTATAAATATTTCATTACCGAAAGAAGTAAAAATATGCGACAACACTTGTTGACTGCCCGGACGATTTAGCTGCTGTGGGCATATGTTTCGTTGCCTGGCAACCTATCTTTACAGGTTTTGAGGGTTTTTTTAAGTTAACATTTTGCTGGGATAGTTTGACTAATCCAAATGAGAAACCATATCGAAATTCTGAGCAACACTGTGATATTTTGCAGAAATACATCAAAATTGAGAATTCTGCTGTTATTTTTCACTGAGTTATTGCCTCTGACAATGAAAACTCAAAAAACACTTTTAAAATAAATTCTACTATTGGATATATATAATTTCATTGCCTGGTTATGCTGTTTTAATGAAACAAGATTGTAATTTCTCAATGATAGGATAATGAATAGTTGTAGCACCATGGGTCTTTTGTCAGACATGGAGAGCGGGCAACACGCTAATACCGGTCGCCACCTCCTACGTATGACCCATGCATCTTTTCATACTACATATCTTAGTAGCCTTGTGATCGTCTAGTATTTTCACTTGTCGTCTTTGCTTCTCCATCACGTTGTGTATATACTTTATTTTATCTATCTTAGTTAAGACATTTGTCTTCTCAGGAATAACAATGCAAGAGTTCGTTTTTACATTTTATATATCATAGCTGGATACATAGATACAAGAGTAGATTACAGTAAAGTCATTCTCTCAAACCCCATCCAGCCAGACTCATTGGGGCAAGTCTGCTGATAAATTGCTACATCTTTTCCCTTCTAGAATCAAGCTGCTGTCTGAAGATTGCTCAGAAATATGATAGTTTTATAGCTTTGGATTTTGGACCTTCAATTATCTAATTGGTCAAATATGATGTAAATAACTATAGAGATTGGTTAATTAAGCCAAATGATGCAATCATAATTTTCCGATCACATGTTAAGCATGATATTCTCATTCCCATGGAACCAGCTAATGTTTACCAAATTATAACTGTTTTTTTTATATACCAATCTGTCACTCATTCTTGAGAGCATTAGATACGACTTAGCCAAGATATTAATTAATATAATGCTACTAACTAAAAGAACAAAAATTCTACAAAAGTCTTACAAAGTCTGAATGATAAGTAAATGTAATTTCTCAATAATAGGAGAGTGTTATTTCTTAATGATCAGAGAACAGAACAATGTAAAAGGAGATAGGATAGGAGAAGGCATCTCAGTGATTTATAGATGAATGTCATTCCCCAATGATAGAATACTTTATGGGAATAGAGAATTTTGTTCCACTGACCCGCCAGGTTCAAGACTTGATTTTAAATGTTTGATTTGATATGAATGCAGTACTCCTACTTACTTAGTTTCTTTATTGCAAATGCCTTTTTGTTTTTTTCTGGATTGTCTGAAATGGAAAATATTTTCTTTTCATACTTACTGATGTCCATTGTGTAAATATATGTACTAATATATATACTATTTTATAGTTTTATTGTTTGTGTACAAGCTGTTTAACAGCAATAAACAGGTCACAATTCTATGGAATACAATTACTGCTTATTACTGAGCGACGTTTCGACTAGTTTGACTGCCACATCTCCATACTAATGTCTGATAAATTGTTTCAATGGCATTTAGTAATTGAACAGGAATAAACAGGTCACAATTCTATGGAATACAATTACGGCTTATTACTGAGCAGTAATTGTATTCCACAGAATTGTGACCTGTTTATTCCTATTTAATTACTAAATGCCATTGAAACAATTTGTTTAACAGCAAGGCATATGATTTAAATATTCTTTTATAAACTATGAGTTAAACACATTTATTTAACACTGAATTATAAATAGAAATTGGGTTTAAAATACAAAAAAGTACTCCATAATCTTATTAGATATGAACTTCCTCTTGGAGGGTAGATAGTTGAAAAACATATTAAGGTTTCAAACATAGTTCCTAGTCAAGCACCAATAAGAACATTTTCAATGCTGAAGGTAATGCCACATTTATATATGTATGTAGTTATACAAGTTTTACTTTAATTTATGATTGGTTAATGATTTAGTTCTCTCGGATAAATTACTAATCGGAATAGGAATATTGGTCAAGGTAATATATCTGTTAAGTTTAGACAGCTGAGAGTGAGTATGTCCATGTATAAACTATAATTTCTTCAATTTTCTTTAAAATTGTTCTGAAGAGCATCCTTCCATGACTATTTGTTTCTCATTTTGCTGCTTAAACAGGCCCTAACAGTAATATACAGATGTTTTCATTAAATATTTTGCGGTTTTCATTAGAAAACTAACCTGGCCTTCACTGGCACCTGTGGTATAGGTACACTCCCCAAGTAATTCAGATATGAAAAAATGGAGTTCCACCCATGTCAACATTCTGTGTTTAAAAGAACCAGTGACAGTTGGAAATCAAAGAAGAGTAGATGGCAATGTCACTGAGCAAAATTCACCTCTCTCATATTGCAAATGTTAACAAAAATGTTTAGCGTCTTTCCAGTCCTTTCATTTGAAACTGTATATCTTTTCTTGTAACATGTATCTAATTGTGCCATTTTCTTGTATCATTTGTTTTGTTTGTGGTTTGTTGTGCAGTTCTCCTGCACGATCTATTAGAAAAGAAAAACTCTAATAAAGAATAAAGTGAGAAGTCATCCAGTAGTAATAATGTATAAATTATAATACTACTGGTAGTTGAACCAGACCTCTCATATAAAGACATGAATACTTACTTTAAATAACTTGCCCCACATTGACTAGCATAATATATAAGTGTAATAATAAAAACACATTTCTTAATACATTCTTGCTTCCGTTCTTGTCCAACATTCCTTGAAATACTATTGGAATATCAATTTGGAATTAACGTATAGAAAAGTGAGTATGTGTTTTATGAGAATTAATTACATATAAATACATGTTATAAATCAAAATATGAGTCCATTATATCTAAAAATAAAAAGACTCTAGTGCATTGGAGTTCTTCAAAAATTAAGAGAGAACTAATTGAGAGGAGGTGTTGGCTTGTTTTTGGTTTCCTATTGTTTATGCCTTTCAATTATACAATATTTTCAAAATAAATACTGTTTAAACCAAAGACTGGAAAACAGAGTTATATTAATAATTAATTTCCTGTCACATATATTAGTTAGCTGGTTGACTTCATGTATTAAATGTATTTTATTCTACCTTACATGTTGCAATAATATCTACAGTTTCATATATACAGTCTTTACTTCTTGTATATAAAAAAAAGTAGCTCTTTAGGATCTGTAATAAAATCTTGAAACAAAGCTTTTATGGCTGATTACCATAACTTTATTATATTAAATTAGATGGCACGGTCTGTTGGTCATCTGTATATCAGTGTGTTGTATCAGATTTTTTTAGTATGAGAACTCCTGTGGGTTAGTGCTATTGTTGTTCATGTACTTTCTTTAAAGATTTATGTGTCATACATGATTACTTACTGGGGTATCAACCTTTATAAATAATAAAGTTATCATGGATATAGGTTATATCTGGGATACAGTTGACTAGCTTTATGGTAATGAACACAATGATGTTCCTGCATAAACAGATCCAAAATATCTTAATATTTTTTTTTACATCTAATCATGAATATAAACTATAATGTACCAGATTATTGTACTACAGATATTATGTGTCATGATGGGTGTTGTGCGTAGGGTAGGGTATACTTACTCTTCCCAGAACACCTTATACCATCTGTCCCTAGGTTTGTGAGGGAGAACTAAAGTTATACAAATGTACTTATACTTATAGCTGCTGCACAAAGATGAAAACAGACATGGAACACACCTTATATTATCTGAACAATCAAAACATGTCAGGCCCAATAATACTATTATTAGTATTATTTATATTTTTGGCCAGTTTATATGGGTCCTGCACAAGGTGAACTAACTGAATAATCTTGCTGATTTAGTTTTTTATTGGTGTCCCAGATCTTGGTGAAAATTCACAATTTCTCTTTCCCTTTTCAAATTCATGAAATTGATTGTTATGGAATTGATTGATTATAATAGATTATAAAGATAAGCTAAACTAAAAGAGGTGACCGAGAACATTGATTTGGTCATATCAAACCAGTTCTCTTTATACAAGATATTCTTAAGAAGTATATATATATACAAGCTTTTGCTTGAAGTATTTGTTACAGTTAGACTATAAATATTTTATATATAGACCAAAACTACCTGTTTACCTATGTTAAACCTGGTTTGTTTACATCTTATTCATTGTATTTATCTACATTTATAGTACTATATATGCGTATTGCAAATGTTGTGTAGTTGGCCACTTCATGCCTTGGTAAAGTTTTATTAAGTTGTGCATTTTAATTGTTGATAGAGGTCAGTTCTAATTAGATGTTAATTGTGTATTGTGGCTGTGGTTATCTATGTATAATTGGACAATATTAAGGTTACGATATAAGTTTATAATATTGATTTATATCTTCTGGGTGCAGTGATGATATGTACATTGGTGTGATTTTAATTAACATGTAATACAGGGTTCATATTTAAATTGGGAAATAGATGTATATTTGCTGTTGATGAGAATAGTTTGTGTATTGTTTAACTTATGTGTATTGATTAATGTGTAATACAGGGTTCATTTTTTGTATTGATTCATTGATGTGATTATCTTGTTGATAGAAATAATTTGTGTATTGATTGATTTATGTAGGTATGATAAAAATAATTTGTGTATTGATTAGTTTATGTGTATGGATATTGATGATAGGAATAATTTGTGTATTAATTAATTTATGTGTATGTATACTAAGAAAGATTCTATAATTTTATAGGCTAGGGAACTTAACTAGGCACAAGTTAAAATGTCTAGTCTTGGATTTGGGTAAAAAATAAAAGTGTTGAGAGGTTTAATGTGTTGAATAGGTATACGTCTACATTTAAAATTTGAACCAGTGTTGAGATTTGGGTTCCACTGTCAATGGTTTAGGTCATATAGAATTAATAAACAAACTGATTTCCACATTATCTTTCCCAATTAAGATTTAGTAGTTAATGTTCTATACACAATACTTGGTCAATAAAATAAGAATTAAACAATCTTTAGTGGATTTGAATACATTTTGTGATGGAGAATTTAACGTAAAAATGGATAATAAAGACTTTGTTTAATATAGAACTAACATTAGTAATGATGATCGAGGCTAGCTTAAAATTAAATTGTAAATATCTCGGTTCAGAGTGAAGCAATTTGACTAAAATTTTCAACATTTTCTGTTTTCATTATCTATTGTTTAACTAGCAAGAACTGTCAGCTCTTTATCTATTCTTACTTAATGCCCCTTTATGTTTTTCCTCAAAAAGAAGATTTCAATAAACTTTGGGGGTCATAATCCTTTTGACAGTTCTTGTTGTGAATTGCAATTCACGGTTGACCTTGTTTTTCAAGTATAGCTATATATGTAAAGCAAAGTGTTAGGTAGACTCGATCTAAATGTAATCTTTTTGGGCAGTGCAACTTTATTTTTATTTGTTTAATCCAGGGCTAACCTGAATTATTTGGCATATCAATTAGTAGGCTTACAGGTGTATATTATCTTACTACCAATGGATACATGTCATCTTTATTTTTGTTGAACAATAGATTGTGTAGAAAGAATAGCTTATTTCAAATCTGAAACTTTTATGGTTTAATAATTGTGAACTTAGTGAAAAAAACTCTAACCTATAACCTATGTCTGAGTGGATATCAAGTTCTTGCAAGTTTGTTAAAGATTGTTAAAAAGTTTTTAAATGTTCTGTACTGAATTAAGTTTTAATGCCTTGTTTAATGCCTACATATATGGAACATACAGTGTCTTCGTTTAAATTTTATTTGCTGGATTTGAATAGTGTGGACTATGTTCTATTAATTACTTTGTTTTACAGCAGGCGTCTTACACCAACTATTGTTGGATTAAATATAGGTGTATCTATAATCTAAACAGTGTATTGATTTGAATTTTGGATGATTCAAGACTGTTTTCCAGGGAATTAGCATAATTGAATTAATAGAAAGTCAACTAGCTGCAGCTATAGAATTTAAATCATAGAAAAAGTTATTGCTGTCAGTTAAGTGTTTTGTGTTAGAAAAGAAGTGATTTGACATTTGCATAAAATATAAAAGATCAGTGAAAAATTAGAATAGGTTGTTTATTGTTTTCTTGGATTAAAACTTGGATTTTATCTTGAAGAACTTTCAGAAATATTACATAAACTTTTGATATTGATTTTATAGTGAAATAGTTGTTCAACACTACTTTTCAAAATGGGAAATTCATGGTAATTATCAAAGTTTAATAAGTTTATCTATCTACTGCTCATTTTTATTTATTCAGAATTTTCATGTATGATAGCTGGGTCATTTTGAACTTTTAAGGAATGTTTATTATAAATAAGAATAATAGTCTATCATCTGTGAACTATTATTATATAATTTGAAACATACTGGGGTCTATGAAAATTATAGTAGCAATATTGTTTATAATCTATAAAAAAAAACAACCATGTCCAGACTTTGCATTGAGTTAAAACATGCTATATTAAGGCCATATACAAACTTAGTGAATCTTATAAACCCTCACATTTCTCAAGTAAAACATTTGAAAACTGTAATCCTTATACTGGAAGGTTACCAAAATACTGTAAAACTGTCTTTTAAACAATTAGTATGATTAAATGCTGATTGATGACGGCAAATAATTATGGCTTGCAGAGACTTCTGGCTTGCAGAGACTTTTGGCTTGCAGAGACTTCTTGCCACTTTAATAGAAAAAGAGCATTTTGAATACTATACAAAAAGACAGGTGAAATTAGGAGACCCTGAGTTAGAGTATAAATAAGTTTTCAACTAAATTGAAAATAAATTGTAGTGTGTATTATAGTGTGGTATTGTACTTATTTAAGAACCATAGAATCTAGATGACATATATGTTAGTTTTAGGTCACAATAACAATTACATTAAATAGTCTATTTTTACACTAAGATTTAGGCTCTTGTAGCTTGAGATGTCATCAAAACATTATAAAACTTTCCTTAAGTTAACATAAATAAACAATAGATAAAGGGCTACACCTGTATTTCTAAACTGTGTGTTTATATTATTAGTGATTCTGTTACAACTATTAGGTGTTTTTATTGTTATTATGATTAAGCCAATTATTTTAAATGAGAAGTTTGAACACTTTTAGTAATAAAAGTTACAGTTTGTATTGTGTGTTTTTTAAACAATGACCCTAATATTATAAGGACACACATAGTTTGCATTAAATAACTTCTTGGCACTGTATATACACTCAAACTCAAAGCCATTAAAAACTCAATGCCTAATTTGTGAAATATTTCTGGTAAACGTTTTCTTGGGCTTTCCTATCTTATGGCACATGGGTGAAACTTGTACTATGGGGCTCTTTTTGTGGAGTTCTGGGTTTGAACCCAATATCAGATATCGGTAATGAACTTTGTTCATGCAAACGCAACACTTGTCCTTTTCCAATAATTTAGATTATCCTATATCCTTCTGACAGACAAATGTTGAAATTAATGATAGTTTGAGTAATACATTATTATTACATGTATATATATTGTTATAGGTTTGCAGAACAGAGTAATCTATTATATATTGTTTGTAGAACAGTAGTAAATGCTATATATTTTATGTTGTATTATTTTATTGTTTATTTTATAGGTTTGTAGAACAGAGTAGTAGTATATTTATATTTGTATTATTATATTATTTATTTTACAGGTTTGTAGAACAGAGTAACACATTATTAGAAGAACGCAATGAAGGTTATAAACATTCAGCACATCAATCACAGGCCAAAGTTCTAGAATTAGAACAACAAAAGGTACATATTTTAATTATACTTTAATATATCTTATTTAGATTTTAAAAAAATAATATATTAGTATAGATAAATCAAGCAAGCAACTTAGCGTCTGGTTTGCATAGCACTTTTATTTTGGAAACTCTGAAGACTTGTGCTGCCTCTTTTCTTCTTAACTGTATTGATTTTTATACGCCCACATTTTCATGTGGTCGTATACAATTTGTTTGTGGGCACTCTACAGGTCAGAGTTTTTATCTGATTTTGATGAAACTTGAAATATAGGTCTATCTCCCAAACACCTTGGTTCCTTTTGATATTGGCATGTATCAGACTATAACTTCATGGATTTTACGAAAAATCACATTTTTAGCTTGTGGACAGTCTAGAGGTCACAAGTTTGATCTGATTATAATGGAACTTGAAATGCATGTTTATAACCCAAAGATCTTGGTTCCTTTCGATATTCAAGCATATCGGATCGTAACTTCCTGGCCTCTGATTGTATGAAAAATCGCGTTTTTAGCTTGTGGTCCCCCTAGAGGTCACAATTATTATCCGATTTAAAAAAAAAAAACGTTCGAAAATTTCACTGTTACTCCGTTATGATGGTTGAGTTTAAATTTTGTGAAAATCGGACCGAAACTGCCAGACAAAATGGACGCCCCTCGTACACAAATAGTGTAAAAAAAATGGTACATGTATATCAAGGTTGTGGACTTTCTAGAGGTCACAATTTTGATCCGATTTTGATGAAACTTGAAATACATGTTTACAACCCAAATATCTTGGTACCCGTTTTTTATATTTGCCCATGCCAGATCGTAACTTCCTGAATTATGGCCCTTGATTGTACCGAAAATTGCGTCTTTAGCTTGTGGTCCCCCAAGAGGTCACAATATTTATCAGATTTAAAAAAACATTTGAATATATCACTGTTACATACTAATTATGGTTGAGTTCGAATTTCGTGAAAATCCGACAAAAACTGCCAGACAAAATGGCTGCCCCTCGTATGCAAATAGTGTAAAAAATATGGTATATTAAGGTTGTGGACCCTCTAGAGGCCACAATTATTTTGATCCGATTTTGATGAAACTTTAAATTTATATTTATATCACAAAGATCTTGGTTCCTTGTAATAATCACGTATATCTGAACGTAACTTCCTGGATTATGGTCCCCGATTGTTCGTAAAATTGCATTTTTAGCTTGTGGACCAGCTTGAAGTCACAATTTGTATTCAATTTTAAAACAACGTTTAAATATATCACCATTACATATCAATAATAAAAATCGGATCGAAACTGCCCAACAAAATGTTCGCTCCTTGTATGCAAATAGTGTAAAAGTATGTAATACCAAGGTTGTGGAACCTCTAGGGGTCATAATTTTTATCTGATTTTGATGAAACTTAAAATATGTTTATATCCCAAAGATCTAGGTTTCTGTAGATATTCATGCATATCGGACCGTAACTTCCTGGATTATGGCCCCTGATGGTACGAAAAATTGCTTCTTTTTTTTGAGCTTGTTCTCTGTCCATCTCTTGCAAAATGTGGGCATATCTTGCATGGCAATTTAACCGCTTGTTGTTTTTTTTACTGAGGATGTGATTCAACCAGATTCTTTTTTTTTTTTAGCTTAATTTAAGAATGTGTTTGTATTCAAGCAAAATTTATACGCATGATTGAAACACTAAAGGCTTACTCCAAAGTTATAAGATGTATTGCTAAAAGGTGTAAACATAAAATTGTATGATGATAATTAGAGAGATACATTTATAGTATACTGGATAAAGTTGTACTCTAAATTTTGTTTAGTGGATTAGTTCATTCCACCAAAATCTACCAATAATACAAATTCAGTGTTATTTCTCTATCCAATTTAACTGAAAACAACTGACTGGAACCAGGAACTTTGATAGAGAATATTAATATTGATTAATGAGATGTAGATTTGTAATACATGTATTACTAGAATGAGTAGATTTGTGCCATTTACTAAACTCTATTTATGTTTTCTTTGATTGGCATTTAGTAATTGAACATATTAAACACAAGGTACAATTTTATGGATACACAATTACTGAGTTTGATACTAAGCGACGTTTCGACAAGGATATTCTCGTCTTTATCAAGCAAATGATACAAATAATATGTGAATTGTGGGCAAATATATATATATACAGAATGTGCAACAAACATAATAATCAAATGCAATTAATTATGTTAACATTGATTTTTATTGCTGAGAATTTTAATATAATGAATGTAAATATTAAGTGGAAAAGAAAAGCTCACAGAATCAGATGCTATGTAATAAGTTGGTAACCCAGTATAATAGTTTAAGAATTATCCTGTTTGTTTTGATTAAGGGAAATAAATTTTATAAGCATAATTTCAATCAGTAATATTCTACATCACGTGTCCTGCACAAAAAAAGGCTGAACCCCTGCTCTTGCTAATCTCAAAAAAACAAAATAATCAAAACCAGGCTGTCGAAATATTGAAGTGACAGGTCTGATGTGATCGACAGGGGAATGTCCTTGGTTTTGTAAGAATTGTAAATATAGAATTAATTAAATGTAATTTGAAAACATAACCATGCTCCAAGAACAAAACATATAGGGGCGTACATATGGGGGGGGAAAATAGTTGGTCGCAAAATGAGTGCAGTCGGTCGCAAAATTATGCATGGGCGACTAAATGAATTAATAACGTAAACAATGTCAAAATAGAAGGAAAAAATCGCAAATAATGTATTTGCGTGAATCCATTCACCTAATTTGCATATGTCATGCTACTCACACAAAACTAGAGTATAAAATAACCCTGTCAAATTATTATGTTTGAAAAAATGTTTTTCACTCTTTTTCTGTTGTGAGTAATATTGGTCTAAGAAAAAATTCCCTCCCCAGGCAGAATAATAGTCGGTCTCAAAATAAGTGCTCACTGCAGTTGGTCTCAGACTAAATGAATTAATGAGGTAAACAAACAAGGCCAAAAAAGAAGGAAAAATCCCAAATACTTAATATTACATGTATTTGCGTGAATCCGTGTACCAAAATTGCAACAGTATATTAGTATACAATAGCGTAGTCAACTTCCCATGTTTCAAGAGATGGACAGAAAACGAGCTAAAAAAACATGATTTTTTGCACAATAAGGGAACATAATCTAGGAAGCTATGGTCCGATATGCACAAATATCAAAATGGATTGAAATCTCTGGGATATATGGGATATAAACATATATTTAAAGTTTCATCCAAATCAGATAAAAATTGTGACTACTAGAGGGTCCACAACCTTGGTATTACATTCTTTTACATTATTTGCGTACAAGGATCAGCCATCTTGTTGGGCAGTTTCAGGCCGCTATTTACGAAATTCGAACTCAATCATTATCAGGGTGTAACGGTGATATATTTAAATTGGTCCAAAACCTTGATATTACATACTTTAACACTATTTGTGTACCTAGAGCAGCCATTTTGTCCAGCAGTTTTGGTTCGATTTTCACGAAATTTAAACTCGATCATCATTATGGTGTAACAGTGATATATTTGAACGCTTTTTAAATTAGATCAAAATTGTGACTTCTTGAGGGACAGCAAGCTAAAAATGCGATTTTTCTTACAATCAGGAAATTACGGTCCGATATGTGCAAATATCGAAAGAAATAGATCTTTGGGTTATAAACATATTTCAAGTTTCATCTAAATCGGATAACAATTGTGACCTCTAGAGGGTTCACAAGCTAAAACGTGATTTTTCGAACAATCGGGGGCCATAATCCTGGAAGTTAAGTTCCGATATGCGCGATTATCAAAAGGAACAGAGATCTTTGTAATGTAAACATACATTTCAAGTTTTATCAAAATCAAATTAAAATTGCTACTTCATTGAGGTGTAACGGTTTTTAAAATTGAATCCAAATGTGGGCGTATAAAAATCTTTAAATTATGAAATGTTAAGGCTCCTGTCTGACTGCATCACTCGTATTAGAGGCATGCATCAGTCGGTCGCATTTTTGGCTAAACACCTCCCAAAACCCCCCAAACAAAATCGCTATGTACGCCCCTGAAAACATATTCAGAGTTGTGTTTTTGGACCTAGATCTTTTTTATATAAATCACATGGGGGGGGGGGGGGGGTGATCCAGCGCAGAGTATGTAGAATGTTTCCAAGTGTCCATACTCTCTTTAAGTTATTTTATGAGCTCTAGCCATTAGCTGTTGAACACATAAAGTAACACTATGTTAGTCTCAAAATGTGAGAACTACAGATTCACTCAGACTCTAAATTCTAATGTATTTCTTGTCTTTTCCAGGTTCAGTTGGCAACTGATCTTAGTGCTTCCACAGCTCAACTTAGTACCATACAACTGGAACTTGCCAATTCACGAAAAAAAGAAGCAGAACTTATACAAAAAATCCAATCAACAACAGATACTTCATCACATTCAGCTGAAGAAAGAGAAAGATTAAGATTACAACACTCAGGTTAGATGATGGAAATAATTTTACACAAGTTTAAAGGAGCTAAATCACTAATTTTTGGGAACTAGAAATTGACACAAATGGGTCGCAACGCATATATATAATAATGTAATATGAATGTATATAAACTGATTTACATTTAGTCGTTTCAGTTTTTACTCTGATTTCAAATCAGTTATGTGAGAAGTCTCAATCGAATGGCAATCTCTATAGCGTCTGGTTATTCCAATCTATACCGGTAGTATTTATTGCACATGCTTTCCAGATAAGAATATAGTGTCACTGTTTGACATGACTTGTGGAATATGTCTAGCCTCGTTCTTCTAGTCCCTTGTTATAAATGGCACTGAAACGTATTCTGGTACAAGATTCGTGTACCAATGGTAAAATGTTTATTTTGTCTTAGATATTGGATATCACAAGCCCACCTTTTCCTGGTAAGATCTCAACATCAATGTTGATTTAAATTGACAAATAATTTGTGATTTCAATGTTGAAGCCTGTGGATGATATTGATTAAAGACTAAGCTACTTTAAATCCTAGTTTCTGCTGGTTTTGAGTAATGCTGGCGAGTCTCTTCATATAACATGTTACATATTTACATTGCCTAACAGTTGTTATTTAATTAGAGAAAATTTTCCACCTTTTTAATGCAATTGAAAGATGATATTTGAAAACCTCTAAAATATTGCAAAAATAATGCATGGAAAAGATTTGTCTTTAGAGCATTCATAAACTCCCAGCTGTTTGCCTGTCAGCTTTCTTATTTATTTTTCAATATTATCTATTCTTATCTAGTATATTGAAAATATACACCAATCTATTATTAATAAGTTCCAAGACTTGATGTTGAAAATGTGTTACATGAGCTTACTCAGTAAGAGGAATTTTTTGATATTTATTCATATGATGATATTTTCAAATAGAGGATGAAAGAAAAATAACTGAATTAAACAGTGCTTTACGAGAAGAAAAGCAACATAGAAAAACTTTAGAGAGTGCTCATAATCAATTACAAGAAGAATTTGCTGATATAAAAACATCGAAAGAAAATATGGAAAGGGTAAATATTTCCAATCTTATCACTGAAATTCTTACAGTATCAAGTTGTTTATCACTGAATTCCTTACAGAGCATTACCAAGTTGTTTATCACTGAAATCCATACACTACAGCTGTGCATTTGCCAAACAGTTTATCACTAAAATCCTTACTTACAGCTGTACATTTACCAAACAGTTTATCACTGAAAACCTTACAGCTGTGCGTTTACCAAAATGTTTATAAGTTGTTTATATAACTGAAATCCTTAGTTTATGAAGTGATTTGGTGCAATTCATAGAGAATGTTGTCAACAGATATTGGTTATATTCTCTTGCAGTCTCTACATTACGTTCCAAGTCCTGGTCACTGCAGACTCATATTGTAAAGACTAGTCAGAATCACTTTAATTACCACCCAGAATAGTTTGGCTTTTTAAATTTGCTAAAATTATGAAATGTTCAAATAGAAATAAGCATCACCTGTGACAGCTATTTGCGTGTAGTAGAGAGATTGACTCTATGGAATTACCGCAGTCATGTATAAATGGATTTTTTTCTATTTAATTTAAGGGTTTAGCTGACAGAAAAAGAAAAGTAGCAGCAGAAAGAAAAAAGATGGAGGATGAAATGGAAGAGATGAAAACAAATCTTGAAGTAAAAAAATATTTCTTTTAATTATTTTTATACACCCACATTAAAGGTCACCGGAAAAGCATCAATTTTTTTTTAAATAATGCAAGTAATTATGTCAACATATCCTTTCCATAAGTATAAACCGAACCCGAATGTCAATATTACCTGCAACAGGTAAATTTCAACATTAGTAATTTCCGCCATTCTTCGTGGGCAGTCGTAACTTTCCGTAAATAAACAATCTGTGACGTCATTTTAGTCCTTCTGCTCATATTCTAGTCTATATTTCTATATGCAGGACTAAAATGACGTCATGGATTGCTTATTGACGGAAAGTTACGACTACCCACGGAAAACGGCGGAAATTTAAAAAAATTATGAACCTTTTCCGGTGACCTTTAAATGTGTGTATACTGTCATCATCTGCATCCATCGCTCCCTTACAATACTCAGAGTACCGGTTCATCTGGTCATCATAAAACTCTATCAAAATTCAACATGTTTTGCTATCAAAATTTTGCCCACTTGGTTCAGAGTTATGGAATCTTGTGTACGTGATACAGGAGTGTTCATTAAGATATAAGAAAAAGCTGTATGGAATATATCAGGATTTCGGATCATGAATTTTGTGTTTCATGAACTTGATACAGGGCAATGTTCTCAAATCAAAATTTAAAAACTTCTTTATTGGGGGAAAAGAAATAACCATATTAAATTTCAAAATCTTTGGATCAGAAATTTTAATTTTTCAAGCTTGTGACAGGGTTCATAATGAATTTTTAAAGAATTTGCTCTATGAGATTTGTTGACAATGATTTAAGAGCTAGCACAGACAATTTTGCTGCTGGTGGGCATATTAAGGCGACATTGCAGTATTTTCACAATTCTATCAATACTATTGTAATGCTTTTGTTGTCCCTGTAAACTTTCCCAGATAATCTACTATGGGGTCTTAAATCTGGATATTAATTATTTGTTTACATAATTTTTTTTCTTCCTTTAACAGCAAGAAATCCAAACGTTGCGAGATAAATTACGCAAACAGAAAACGTCAACAGATGTAGCCAGTTCTGATAAGGTAACTAATATTATATTTATAACCAACTGTCTTTTATTTGTGTCCATAAATACGGATATAGATTTCTCAGGGAGAGACAGGCAAACAGACTTTTCTCACCTCACGAATTCAAACAGTGTATTATGGAAAGGAAAATCCTGTTAATTCCATTCAATAATGTATCATGCCCTCAGTACCATAAATGCATTAGATACTTCATGGTCAGTGATTTGAAAATCAATAGAATTATTCATGGCCACACAAGGCAAGTTCTGAGAGATTTGAGTTGAAGGTCTTTGGGGGATGTGTAAACTAAACTAACTAATCACTATGCTGTTGCACTTCCATGTATTGACGTGTTCTAGAAAGAAAAAAAGTAGATGAATGTTTGATTATTTTGTATTTATCAGTTGTCACGTATAGAAGCAGAACTTGAAGAAGAATGGAAGCAGAAGAGTGATAAAATGTTGTCAGCAGCAAATGAGAAACATACTAGAGCTCTTGAATTAGTGAAGGAAGAAACCGATGAACTCAAAGCAAAATTAAAAGAAGCAGAAGTCAGAGTATGTTGACCTAATTTATCATTTAAAAATGAATCCTTGGATTGATGACAACTGTCCATAAAAAATATATCTTAGTTATACTAATTCTTAGAGTTAGCTTATGACCAGTTGTGTGTTCAAATGACTGTAATTGCGTTGGCAGATTTTGATGCATTTGTTACCGGTATCACAATGACAGGAACTGTTTGATTTGTGTCAAAAATAAAATCTTTGATTTTATTGAATTGTATAGGTTATTTTTTCTTGTCAGAATGATGCTTTCTTTTCTCTGTTAAAGTTGCAATTTCATATTTTTAAGTTAAATTTTTAAAATTTATTAAAATAAAGCCTTAAAATAGATGGTATCTATAAACAGTCCTACCTTGTTAAAGAATAATCCTATTAATCCTATAATTCACTATTGCCAGTTGAGTAATTGGCAAAAGTATCATTTTCATCTTCAAATTCCAACGTTTGAAGATAACTACTCCATGGTGGAGAATAGAAAACAAGGGAGGTAATTGGGGGGTAATTGTGTTATTATTTCCGGTGTAAATGAGTTTTAAGTGTGAGAATGACACCTATGATCGTATAATAGTGAGTTGACAACCTATTGAGCAAAAGACATAGAAATAATTATGTTTTGACTTTCTTAGAAAATATGAAATTGTAACTTTAATTAGAAATTCTCTTAATTAGAACACATATTATAAACCGGTAGTTGATAACATGCAGATCATAAAGGAAAGGCTTTGTTTTATTTATAGTAATACAATTATAGTAATACAATTATAGTACATTGTGTAGTTTAGTAGTCATCGTGATTATATCACATATTATATTTAAACAGATCCAATCATTAAAGGCAGCAGGCAATACAAGTGATGAGAAGATTAACGAATTAGAAGATGAAATAGAAGAATTAGAAGCTTATAAAGATAAGGTTAGTTCCTGGTGGAACTTTCATCTGTGTTGTATTCCATATTATTTCCATACTACAGATTGTACACTAAAAGTACTGTGATATTATTAGATTATCTGTAGACTTTACTGATGCTGCATATAAATCAACTTTCTGTTTGTCAGATATTTATCTAGCAATATATAAAACACTATCTATATCACTTTCCTACCCGTGGTACAAAAATCTAGGAAAATAACTTGGATACAGACTAGAGATACACTTGTCCGTTTTCATTAGCCTTGTTGATTTAGACCGCATTTCATACATTCTTTCACGCATATGCCTTTTTTGATTTTATAGTATACATTACATTGTAGAGCAGGAAAATATAGAGAAAATGTATATTTTACAGAATAACCATAATTATGTTTGTGTTTCAGTATGATAATTTAAGAAACCAGGCATCAGCTATGAAAGAAAAATATGAAGACAGAATAAATGATTTAGAGGAAGAAAATGATAGACTGACAGAAAAAATGGAAGAATTAGAAGAAAAATTAAGTGATGCTGCTTCAGGTGGTGGACCACCATCTGGAGATTTAGTAAATGAGGTAGTTGAGGATTCTTTTTACCATCTTCACAAGTACAACTAAAAATGTCTTCTAGAAAAAGTGCTCAGTTAAGAAACGCATGTCTGTGTCTAATTTCGGTTTTGTCAGTGCTTATGCCCTGGTGTCATTCTGTCAGGCACAAAATTTCCCCCGTCTAGCTTTAGAAACAGTGTGACATTCCACTTTATTTTTATTTTAAGGTCAAGAAAATAATGAACAATGTTTATCGAGGTTTGCGTGACGATTTTGAAACTGACGAATCATATAAAGGATCAGAAGTTTTATCTTCTATATTAGGCACCATAAAGGTAAGGTACCTCATTTCAGATTAATATTTTTTGTTATGTAAAGTTATATTTCCAGTCTTATTGTGTGACCTTTAAAGCCTGTGAATGCAATACAGGACAAAGTTTCCAGTGGAATTTATAAATTGTTGGTGCTTACTCTATTGAAGTTTTCGATAAGTGATTCATGACAGAATTCTAGAAATAATATTTTGAAACACTGTGAGATTGCTACTTAGTCCGAAATTACCTAGTTCATGTAGAGTGAATGTTAAACCACATTTCTGTCTTTCTCTTTAGCCAAGCACATCTAAGTGTGTTATTGAACTCCTGTTGCATGAATCAATGACAGACCTTATGATCAAAAGCACACACTTTAAACCTCTCAGCTACTCAATATAGACAAAACTGAATAAAAAGATTACATTTTAATTAGATTAGATACAAGTAGTGTCTATATACTCCGACTAACTGATTAATTTTTCATTTGTAGACAACAACCCTTGAATTAGTTAAAAAACAAGAAGAGAAAAAAGAAGAAAATGCAAAGGATGATGATAGTGAAGAGGATGATGAAGATGAGATTGATGGAGAGAAAGAAAAAGCAGAAAGTGAACAAACCAGAACAGAACAAAAACCAGGTAGGATATGATCAGTAGGGAATATGTCTGTTTGCTTCCTTTGTTAGGTCATCTTTCAACTTGTATTGTATACATAATCTTTTATAGATACTTTCTGATATTTGTTGGGTTTTTTTCTAGTTGTGGAAGAAACCATGACATCTGATGATGTAATAGTTGTAGAATCTGTCGCTAAAACTACAGCAGCTCCCCCTACTGAAAAAAACCCTGTTACACGTAAGTTACACTTAGTCATACATTTACACATCATGTTACTATCAATCACCACATGTTGTCTTTGTTTATTTCTTTGATTGATGGGGAGTTGAATGACCGAATGGTTAGAGTGTGCACGCTGAATCATATTTAAGGTCTGTCATTGAGTCAGCTGGCATGGTTTCAATTCCCTGGTTGTACGTGACAAGGAGTAGGGTCACCTGTCCAACCTCATAGGTTTTCTCCGGGTCCTCCGGTTTCCTCCCACTGCTAAAGACCCCTACGCACAGGAGAATTATTGAAATAAAATTGAACCATATGCTAGTCCCGAAATGACCTAGTTTGTGTTGAGTGGGCACTAAATCTCAATTCTCTCTCTCCCCCCCCCCCCCCTCTCTCTCTGTGATCATAGTCTATATTTGGTGTTTACCATTAGTGCTACAATGAAATCACCCCTTGTTTATCTTTTATCACAAACTGTTATATATGTTACAGTGTTTCCCGTTTTTTTCAAAATATATCAATGTGACAAGGATTATAGCCACTAACATTAGACAATTGTAATCATAAAGTAATTGCAAGTCATTTACTCATGTATACACTTTTCCTTGGTATTAATTATTTCAAGATCAACCCATCCATTTATCAATCGATTCATTCTTTCATCATCAACCCATTCTTTCAATCATTAATTCATTCATTAATTCATTCACCAATCAAATCATCCACATCTTCACACAAAATGAAACAGAATGTGTTGAATACCATTCTGCAAAGACTTTACATCAGCGTATTGTATTTGTAGCTGCAAAATTTATGCCTAAAAAAGATCATCCTACAGGAGATAAAGGAAACAGAATTTATTCTGAGAAACTTGATAAACTTAATAAGCCTGATAAACATGCTCCTGGTAAGCCATATACATTGGTTGCATGGTTCTTATATATTCTATACTAAACAACACTAAACAACTTATAAATACTGTATATTTATTTTATATAGCATGGGCTTAGAGGAGATTTTAATAAGTTTAAAATAGGTTCTTGTAGCCATATTATATCCTGTACTATTACTGACAGCTAGCTATAAAACATGCTTTGAAAGGAATGTAGAACTAGAAGAAAATTGGCTTTTTAACATATTTCTTTCATTAACACCCCTGTAAAGGTTTATATTACTCCTAACATCACCCCATGCTGCCTTTTGAGTACAGGTAATCAAATGTAAAAACCACGTTTTCTCATGTGATAAACATTTTAGTCTCTTGTTTGAAAAATAGTTTTTGAGAAAAATGCATGGGTTTTTGTGGAATCTTTGGTTAACAGCCTGGAGCTCTGATATCTTAACACAAATCCAATTATGTTTTGCTGAAAAGTTACCTGAAATACTGCTATTGGTAGATGGTACATATGTGGTAATAAAAGTCTGTTTGTAGAGTAAAAAAGTTTAGTAATTAAAATGAACGCATATCTTAAGTTAGAATTCATCAAATTTTGGACAAAATATATTTTTTAGTAAAAATATGCTTGTTTGTGTATGAGCTTTTTGTTAACCATTTTTGCAGTCATAGGAGGCATTAATTTAAAAACACATTAAAGTGGGTAGTAGAAAAAGTGGACATATTCCATTACTTACAGTACTTGATTTACTAATATACTGTGTACTTATTAAATATTCTGTGTACTTATATATTCTGTGTTTATAACTTGTTTATGCATTATACTAATTAAGCATAGCTTTTTGAGAATATATTTCCACTTGGATTTAATCAGATCTTAAATAATACATTGAGCTATTTCTTTGTTTCGAAATAATGAAACATATTTATATAGAATGACTTTAAAGGAGCAGTCTCAGTTTTCACTGTGTCTGTGGGAGCTGGGTTGGGGATTAAGTGTAAATATCAAATCTATCTAACTAAGCGTTATAGACAGGATTTATCCAGACACAAGGTGATTTTTAATCAACTGAACATTGGTATATCTTTGAAAATGCATCAGATAGTGTATGGGGTTTTAAGAGCCTTTCACACTGTGTTAACCAGTTTTATTCACTGAAATGTATTTGGGATTTCTGCTTTAAATTAGATTTGATATTAGATTTGCTATGTACCTATTTGGAACTTGTAGTTTGAGATTAAATTAAATTAAATATCTTGTAATTGGTATATTTTTATACATAATATATAACACATGGTTTTTTTTTACCATATGCCAGGTTTATATAAAAATCATAGATAATAATGATTTTATCCAAATCTTTATAAATCTAAAATATATAAATACAACCACTAACACTAACGCCAGTTGGTTTAAATGTAAAATATATAAACTATTGTTTATAGTACCAATAACACCATTTGCAGTTGGTTTTAAATGTAAAATATAGAAACTATTGTTTATAGCACCAGTAACACCAGTTGGTTTTAAATGTAAAATATAGAAACTATTGTTTATAATACCAGTAACACCAGTTGGTTTTAAATGTAAAATATATAAACTATTGTTTATAATACCAGTAACACCAGTTGGTTTTAAATGTAAAATATATAAACTATTGTTTATAGTACCAATAACACCAGTTGGTTTTAAAGAAGAGCATGGTTATATAACAGGTGATAAAGGAAATCGTATTTATTCCGAAAAACTTGATCAGCTTCATTCTTCAGGTAAACTATAAAATTAGGAAAGTATAAGCTTGAGACTTCATGCTGTAAAAAAACACCTCAATATTTATTCAGTTAAAGAACATTACATAACTATTGTATCTGTACAAGACACCTTATTTTGGCCAGTATTGGTCTAAAACCTTGAACTTTGCAACTCGATTATCAAAGGTAGACATTTTAGCTTAAAAAGCGCAAGATTGGTATTCACGACGATCAAGGAATCTGATAGGCTCACAAGTTGGGCTTGTACCCAATCGAAATTAGTGCTGAAATATGTAGGGTATTACTTGACGGCCTTGATAAGATGTACGTAGTTAAAGCGAGATCAAACCTTCTATTGAAGATGTACAAATATATGCCCCTTTGCCTTCTTACTCAACATCTGAAATTTAATTTTACTATCACTGAAATATCTTAGTTGTTGAAATCAAATTTAATAAAGTAAACAATTTTCTCTCACAATATCAGCCCAACCTGTAACAGAAACTATTGGTAAAGTTGAATCGAGTCAAGTTCATGGCAGTCCACCAAAATCTAAAAATAATGATCAGTCAAAACCAGGTACTTGATATGCTCTTTATAACCAGATGGAAAGCTGTAGTGTCTCACTGAGTATTGTTCATGGCTCACTCACCAGAAGGTCCCTGGTTCGTTAAGAAAAGTCATTGTTCAAAACAAATTTCCCTTACACTTTGCATGACATATGCCCATCTTCATTATGCATGCTTTGATTTGTTGCCAAAAAATAGTATGTAAATTACATTTCATTTCCTTTTATTTCCATTCCATTTAACTTCAATTGCTTACAAGTTGTAACAGTGAAATGTGTTAATCAGAAAGACTAGGCTAATTCTGAGCTAATTTCCTGCACATCAGCATCATGTACATACCACTATTATTATAGTGTATTGTCAATATAACTGGAGGTTGATTCCATCTTTGTACAATAAATAATATTTAAAGCTTGATACAGAAGTATAATAGCAGTTATTAGCTGGAAATATGAAACAAAATAATGAGTGCTATTGAGTGTTGTAAAATGAGTGATCATACCCCTGTCAATATATATTAATATATTTATGGAATGGTAGTTGCAACTTTGATTTCAGAAATCTGTATTCATCTGTAAAAGTTATTATTTATCTCATGTTAATGCAGCTATTATTTGATAACCCTAAAATATATAAGATTTTTAAGGAATTTTAACAATGTGTTTTAACTTTTTAAAATACTAGCTATTGTAGAGGAATCTTTTGGTAAATCTGAAGCTATGACTTTAGAAGCTGGTTCATCTAACAGAAAACCAGGTACATATAGACTAGTAATATACATGTTAGTAAATCAATGGTGATTCAATAACTTTATGATGCATTGTACATAGTTAATATCTTTACAATGGGGATATACAGTGTATCGTATATTAAAGAGAATTTGGAGGTTATGATAAATTTGTGAAAAAAAGAAAATATTTATTTGATGTGATTTAACTATACACTTACATTGTGCCGGTTTAAATTAGATTGTATATTAAATCTCAAACAACCCATCGCCAAGACATAAGTTTATATATTTTGAATGATATTTTACAAATCATATAAACTTTTTAGTGGTTTTTAATTGGTTTCACAAATGCTCACTCAGATAACTTACCCTGAAGTTGGTCAGTGCTTGGATTTTCAGTAATTATTAGATTCTAAGCTTACCATATTTTCAAATGTATAGACCGCAGGGGTGTATAAGATGTGGCGTGAATTTGTCTGGTGTGTTTTTATATAAAATTATTCAAAATTTATTACAGTTCTTTTCATAATGAGAGTGATAGTCTTGAGAGTTGTATTATCTTGTGTTACCATGACAATAAAATGAGTATTTATCAAATGTTCGGAGGGTTATTGTACATGTAGTTTGGATATACGTGTGTAAAATTAAATTTTTATTGTAAACAAATGTTAATTGGTCTGGATTTATAGTCTTGTTTACTTTTAAACTATAAAAGTTTAGTAATCTATTGATTATTGATGGAACATTTTTATTACTCAGTAAAACCAGCTAAAGTAACACCTACAAAAGATCATCCTACAGGAGATAAAGGAAACAGAATTTATTCTGAAAATCTTGATAAACTTAATAAACCTGATAAACATGCTCCTGGTAAGATACCTATTTAGATTTAAAATATTTATAGCGTACTAACACTATATAGACAAACATGTAGTGCTATAAGACAATACCCCAGAGACATATTTGTGCTGTATACTTATACCCTAGAGATGTAGTTGTAGTCGTATAAAATAATAATTTGGAGACATACTTGTACTATACATTAATACTACTTTAGAGATGTACTTGTAGTCCTATAGAATAATACTATACAGACATATATACCTGTAGTGCTATAAAATATTACTATAGAAACATACTTGTGCTATACTAATACTGTAGAGATGTACTTGTAGTCCTATAGAATAATACTATACAGACATATATACCTGTAGTGCTATAAAATAATACTATAGAAACATACTTGTGCTATACTAATACTGTAGAGATGTACTTGTAGTGCTTATATCAACACTGGAGACACATATTATACCTGTCATCACATTGATATTTGTAGTGCTACAAAATGATACTATATACAGACATACATTTACTTACAGTAAATGATATTTTATTACATAGTACAATGTAGTACATTGCGCAAAATTTAAATAAACAGACCATTTCATTCTGTAACCTCCCACACGAAACAGAACAGAGTTAATGTAAAAATACTTACAGATCCTACTGTTGTGAAGATGAATTAAACGAAATGTAAGCTAAATAATACAAAACCTATGTTTTAAGTTTTTTAATCAGATCACATACATACAGACATGCTTGTTGTCAGTATACTAGTACTGTAGATACATATACTTGTAGACCTATAAAATGATAATGTAGAGACATACATGCAATGCTAAATACTAACACATAGAGACATATATGATATATACTTGTAGTTATTAATACATAGAGACATTCAAGTTTGTAGTGCTATAGCCTATAAAATGGTACAATACAGACATAAGGTGCTTGTAGTGATATACTAACACATAGAAGAGACATACATGTAAATACAAAATACTAACAAAGGGACATATTTGTAGGGCTATTATATACTAATACATAGATATATACTTGTCATGTTAAATGCTATATATTAATACATAGAAATTAAAGAAAAACTGAGTACTTTAGTTTACCCTCGAATAGGTTTCACTGTAACTATTAGAAGTTCCTTAAATTTTTAAGTGACTAAGCTCATTCAGACTTAAGAACTAAAAACTTTGTATTTAGATTTCTTTCTATTTCTATTTTATTTTCTCAAATTGGTTGTTGTAATTTCTTTTCTTCAGAAATCTATAATATATAAAACAACCTGTAATCAAATAAAGAATTTAGTGAATTCAATTTCTGATAAAATATATGTGTACTTTGACAAAACTTTAACTACTCCTTATGTACCAATAACACCAGTTGGTTTAAAATGTAAAATATATAAACTATTCCTTATAGTGCCAATAACACCAGTTGGTTTTAAAGAAGAACATGGTTATATAACAGGTGATAAAGGAAATCGCATATATTCCGAAAAACTCGATCAATCATCCCCTTCTTCAGGTATTAATATACATCATAAATATATAAAAGACTGTTAATAGATTTGAAAATAAAGCAGTTATTTACAATGAATTCAAAACATAACTTATTTTCTTAAAAGTCAATTAGGCTTATAAATTCCAAGTATGGATCGAAAGATTAAATATCTTTACTGTAAGAATATGTTTGGATGGTATATATTAATGTTATATTCCTTAAAATCAATTAAGGAAAATATCATAGTTCTCTTATTATTATAAAATCAGCTCAGCCAGTTACAGAGACTATTGGTAAAACTGAAACAAGTCATGTGCATGCCAGTCCACCAAAATCTAAAAATAATGAAACTAAACCAGGTAATTAATCTTGTTTAGTTTCCAGTAGTTAATAAGAGAATTAAATTAAAGTCAGTCATATTAAACACTCTAATGTTTTTCTAAATGAAAGTCAAATTTTCCTCAGAAAATTATCCACTGAATGATTTTGAACCATGTTCATTTGTACTGGTACATGTACATCATTACCAGAGCTTATTACTATTTATGGAAGTTGAATTCAATGTCTGTTGAGCATAAATACTGTGTAGTTTATCTCTTGTGTTTGACCTTTTTAAAATACAGCTATTGTGGAAGAATCTTTTAGTAAATCAGACTCTTCGACATTAGAAGCTGGTTCATCTAACAGAAAACCAGGTTTGTAGACTTTTAAATTACCAACCATTTAAGATAAGTTTTTCCAACAGCATAGAAATTGTAAGAAAAAATGTTCCACAAAACAAACAATAAAAATTACAAAGAAAACAAACAAAGTGGCAACACAAATTCTGAATTCCAGAATGAATCAAAAGCTGATAAATGAACCAGGAACATCTGATTCACAGATGAACCAATTTCAGGTGTTTGGTGCACCAGTCTTTCCATGTAAATGTTTTACAGCAGAGGGTATATATTAAAGATGTCATTGAAGAGGGGTTTCACATACATGTAGGTTATGTCTGTTAACCTGTTCCTGTTCAGGATCTTTCCTGAATAAAAATATTGTTTTAAAAATCATTTACAGATAAATAAAGAATTCATAATGTCGAACACACTTGTCTATTTACTTGTCTATTAACTTATTTCACAGTTAAGCCACCTAAAGTAACGCCCCAAAAAGATCATCCTACAGGAGATAAAGGAAACAGAATTTATTCAGAAAAACTTGATAAATTTAAGAAACCTGATAAACATGCTCCTGGTAAGATATATATCTTATACCCTAATTAAAGAGCTTACTAATTATAATAATAAAGTAGACCTTATTCTTAAGAGGTTTTCTTGTGTATTCGTCATATACTAATTATAATTTATTGCAAGGAAATACATGTATACAACAGTTGTATCTAATTTGTTGCTTGGGATATTTGTTTGCATCAATTTATTCCAAGTTGTCATGTAACTTAAATCAACTTTCTCCCGCTAGAATATTTCTGATCTTACTTATAGTCATATGGATTTTATGTACAGAGATAATTATTCTTTGACCTTTACACTATAGTATGGGCAGTTGTAAATATATTCTCCTACAGATCTGAAAGAACCTTTTTATACCTGTTATCATACAAAAAACATCTTAAATTCTTCTTCTGAAAGAACTATTTTTCTTTTCTTTCATCTGAAAAACAAAACAACAGCCTTTTATTTCCTTCATAATATGACAATTAAGTATTATGTTTATGAGTACATGTATATATAATATATATTTCTATTTATTTGTAATATTTGTTTAAATTAAAACAATGGTTTACAGAACAGATAGCACCAGTTGGTTATAGATATAAAATATATATAAGCTATTGTTTATTAAATGTAAAATATATGAATATTGTTTATAATACCAGTAACACCAGTTGGTTTTAAATGTAGAATATATAAACTATTGTTTATAACACCAGTTGGTTTTAAATGTAAAATATATAAACTATTGTTTATAACACCAGTAACACCAGTTGGTTTTAAATGTAAAATATATAAACTTTTGTTTATAGTACCAATAACACCAGTTGGTTTTAAAGAAGAGCATGGTCATATAACAGGTGATAAAGGAAATCGTATTTATTCCGAAAAACTTGATCAATCATCCCCTTCTTCAGGTATTAATATACATCATAAATATATAAAAAGACTGTTAAAAGATTTGAAAATAAAGCAGTTATTTGATAAAATTCAAAACATAACTTATTTTCTTGAAAGCTTAAAGGTTCAATACCACTCTTGTTGTAACTGAATAATATGTCCCAATCTTTATTCTGGTCAACAAATTGTACTATTTTGGAATATTTCAATTAATTGATGATACAAATTTCATCTTAACACACCTTATTTAAAAATTTTGAAAAATTCAACATAATGGTTTGAAACATCTAATGTAAACCTTTTCAAATGAAACTTCGATTTAAAAATATTTTTGAACCCTCTGGACAAGTAAAATAGGATGTAATGGATAATTTACACAACAGGTAGGACACTTAAACATCTAGTACTTAGATAGAGATATTATTTATTTTCTGGAGCTTTCAAGCCAGCAAGAGTGTTATTGTCCCTTTAAAAGACTTATAAATTTGAGGTATATACCAAAATATGGCTTTTCAGCAATTTCTCAGAACTATATTAAGCCCTGAAAGATATAATATATGTACTGTGCCGAGATGTTTAGATATTAAACATTAATGTTATGTTCCTTAAAACTGATTAAGAAAAGTATCATCATCGTCTCTTATTATTAAAAATATTAGCTCAGCCAGTTACAGAGACTGTTGGTAAAGTTGAAACAAGTCATGTGCTTGCCAGTCCACCAAAATCTAAAAATAATGACACTAAACCAGGTAATTAATCTGCTCTCTTAGAGTTTCTTTTCTATAGTTCGTTCAAAGTAAATTAATTGCAGTGCCTTAGTCAGTCATGTTAAATATTTAGTGACAACACCTCTAATGTTCCTTTAGATTTTGACTCAAGTCTTGTTACTTGGTACATCAAATCCAGATATCATAAATATTTATGAAAGTTGATTTCTACATTGCTGTTGAACAACAATTAAATGATATTAATTCCTTCATACTCATCTACAAACGATAAATAACACAATAAATAATGTGTATTTTATTTCTTGTGTTTGACCTTTTAAAATATAGCCATTGTGGAAGAATCATTTGGTAAATCAGAATCTTTGACTTTAGAAGCTGGTTCATCTAACAGAAAACCAGGTTTGTAGACTTCTAAATTTCCAACAGTATAAGAATAGTTTCTTCTACTCCATAGACAATGTGGGGAGAACTGTGCAAAAGAAAAAACCCACTTAATTCCAAATTCCCAAAAGAATCGAAAGCATATAAAATGAACCGGGAATATTGGGTTCACATATGGACCAATTTCAGGTATTTGGTAGACCAATATTTTCATATGTTAATCTATGATTTAAAGCAGAGGGTATTAAAGATATCATTGAACAAGAGTTTCATATAGGTTCTACCTGTGTACCTAAAATTATTGTTTTAGAAATAATATTTAAAGATTACATGCACTGTAAAACTGTTGTCTATCAACTCATGATAATGGGCCTTATATATAAGTAATAAAACAAATTTATTTCACAGTTAAACCAGCTGAAGTAACACCCCAAAAAGATCACCCTACAGGCGATAAAGGAAACAGAATTTATTCTGAGAAACTTGATAAACTTAAGAAACCTGATAAACATGCTCCTGGTAAGATATAATATCTGTAGAGCCTATACTAATAATATAATAGACCTCTAGAGGTTTTTGTTCATAAATATTCTTGTCTAGCTCGGAATATATTTTTGTGAGAATTTATTCAATTAGATTAGCAAGCGAATTAAATAAACATGCTTCTGGTAGAATGCTTTTCTTACTTATAGCATTTATTCTAATCTATTTCTTGTACTAAGTTTTTATCTTTACAATTCTGAATATATTCTCCTATATATCCTTATTTTAGGTAAAATTTGATTAACACCTCATCTTTTATTTATCTTAAAGCTTAAAGGGTCCTCTTCTTTTCTTTATTTGCAGGAAACTTTTCTCTTCATCTGAAAGGACCTTATTTTCTTTTCTTTATCTGCAAGATAACTTTTCTTGATCTGAAGGGGTCTTTTCATTTCTTGATCTGTAAGGGTCCTATTCTTTGCTTCATCTGAAGAACCCTTTCCCCTTACTTTATTTCAAGGGCTTTCTGCAGGAGAGAGGGCCTTGTCAAGGGACAATGTATAGTTGTTGAGATGCAACGAAGAAAAGAACCGAGGTCCTGTGTACACATTATTGTGCATGTAAAAGATCCCTTGGCAGATGGAATTCAATATAAGATTAGGCTGTAGCGCCATGGTCCAGGCCAAATTTTCCTCATAGCATGCTGTATGGGGTAAACCTATGTTCATTTGCCCAGTCAGAGTAGAACAGTAGAACATTAAACACAATATCATTTCATTTCTTTTTTTCATTAGAAGTGGTTTTCCTCTTTTCTTCATCTGCATAACTGGTTCTTTTGTCTTCATCGAAAATCTTCTTTCATTCTTCATCAGAAAATGTGGGTGTATCTTGCATGGCAACTGCTTGTTTCTTTCATCTTATAAAAAGTATCTGAGAGAAGCACTGTTCTTTTTCTGAAAATATATCCGATCTTTTCTTTCCTCTGCACCTGAAAAAATATATTGTATCATTTTTTAATTTTATTTTTCTATGTTTATTACCAGTATTTGTGCAGGTGATATATATTTCTGAATAGTTTTAAGAATATGTAAATTAAAGTGATTGTTTACAGAACCTATAACACCAGTTCATTAAACTATTGTTTATAGAACCTTTTTTTATAGTGCCAATAACACCATTTGCAGTTGGTTTTAAATATAAAATATATAAACTATTGTTTATACCACCAGTAACACCAGTTGGTTTTAAATGTAAAATATATAAACTATTGTTTATAGCAAAGTTGGTTTTAAATGTAAAATATATAAACTATTGTTTATACTACCAGTAACACCAGTTGGTTTTCAATGTAAAATATATAAACTATTCCTTATAGTACCAATAACACCAGTTGGTTTTAAAGAAGAACATGGTCATATAACAGGTGATAAAGGAAATCGTATATATTCCGAAAAACTTGATCATCTTCATTCTTCAGGTATATATATACAAGACAAACATCAAGATATATACATAATAAAATTCAAGATCAAAGGAATTAAATTTGTATGATTTATGAAATAAACATTGATTGTTTATCACAGATTAGAATTAAATGTACATATTTTTTTAGTCTTCAGTTGAGTAAGTAAAGATGGATTTCATTTAAGTTGCTTAATATTTAAGGTTGCTTAATAAAATGTAAATAAAACTCAGGATAACCAGATTTTAATGCATATTGTAATTTTTAAGCTCATGTGGTCTTTAAATGAAAATCATACTATTGTAGCTTTTACGCAAGCTTTAAGTTAGAAATAGTTTTGAATATACATGGAGTTAAAAGTGTGCATTGAGATTTAAGTATATAAATTATGTATGTAGCACCTGTAACAGAAACTATTGGTAAAGTTGAAACAAGTCAAGTTCATGCCAGTCCACCAAACTCTAAAAATAATGATACAACAAAATCAGGTACTTGTCTGACAAGATTCAGGGATTTTTTTTATCTAACTTTTAAAAAAAATTTCAGCAGTCAACTATCTTAAAAACAAAATTGTAATGTTAACTGAAAATAGTGTCTTAGTCTTATTACATTTAGAGACATTAGAACTTTGCAGATCTTTGATGGTCAATAAAGACATATTATTTTTAATTCTACTATATTATATTGGGGGCTGTACGAGTTTTTAAAACTTAAGCAGACACACACTTGAACAATACTCTAATCTAATTAGGCTAAAAAAGTTATATGGAATAATTTTACAGTGTAAATCTTTAATTCATTTTTCAGTATTTATACACCTAGGTTTTTATTATATTTATTAAAGTGGTATTTTTATTACACGACATATGTTGCTTAGTATTGCGTATCATTTTGTAGCTATTGTTCAAGAATCATTTGGTAAATCAGAATCTACCACTTTAGAAGTCGGGTCATCTAATAGAAAACCAGGTATATTATACATTAATACAGCAGATAAATATATTTTTCTGGAGCTGTAATCAGAAAGGTCAGAACCTGTATAATCATTGCCTATTTTGGATAATCATCTGCAATTGGTTAATAGCATGTCTAAAATTTGCAAGAATCAGATATTCTATAGCTGTATAGGTCATGGTTTATACATGGTCAGAACAGAACATGATCTGTTGTTGATAGATAAATGATCAACAGATTGGTAGAACATGATTTCTAATACCCTACAAGAAGATCTGTAATAAAAACATGATCTAGTTATTCAAAGCAGGATCTGTAATTAATCAAAACAAGAACTTAAAATGATCTGTAGTTTTTCAGAAAATGGTTTGCATTTGATAAATATTTGATCTGTAGTTGTTTAGAACATGGTCACTTAATTGCAAGAAATGATATTTAGAAGAGACATGTGGACAAAATCTGGGAGTGCTCCTTTGTAGTGTAATGAACTGCCTTTGAAAAATGTTAGCATAGTATTTGCAGATTATCTGCTGTTCATTATAATCAGTATTAATAAAAAGATTACAATATGCATGGTGTTTGTAGGTAATGGTGAAAGTATTATGGATATAGCATACTCTTTTAGGATTAAAAATAGATGGTTGATTCACATCAAAGCAAAATGATTGCCTCTAGCCATAATTTTTGCTTCCTGTTTGAAAGAGTAGTGTTCAGTAATTGCTTTGTTGACCTTTTCTAAGTTGTAATGGTCTGTAATAAAGCTTCTAAATCTTATAGGGCTTGAATTATTATCTACACATATTCACATTAAATCTTAGGAAATGTTTCATTATGGTCTGTCTGACTTTCTATTTTTAGGAACAAACTTCATAAGATATTGTGAAATGAATAATAATATCTGTTATCTTTATTTGCGTTAAATTTCGAATTTTGTCATGTTTGATATTCAGTGAAAGTATCTAAAGTAATCCCTAAAAAAGATCATCCTACAGGAGGAGATAAAGGAAACAGAATATATTCTGAGAAACTTGATAAAGATAGTAAACCTGATAAACATACTCTTGGTAAGCTGTAGATCTGGTATTATCCATAATATAGTAAAAAATATTATATTTATATAGGCAATATAGCATGGGTGTGAGGAGTTCTTGGCTTTAAAATCATTCTTGGTGCTGTACAGATAGTTGTAATTAGATTTAAATACTAATTATCTTATTATACAAAAAAAACATGACAGAGTTGTTTACAAAATAGCATTCTCAGTGTTTCCCAACCTACGGGTCTGTGAAAACATTTTTGGGGGTCAATTATGTCAAAAGGATCAAGGAGGTTCGTGAGAAAAAAAGGGGGCTATGACAAAAAGACAACTAAGTAAAATTCAGTATGAAATTGTTGGTAATTAGACAGTGAATTTCTGAAGATGATATCAGAGTCATAATTAATGAATAGGAATGTTGATCATCTTGCTATGGATTGATGTACCAATATTTGATCAGAATGGCTTTTAAGACGCCCTAATGCCCCTAATCTGGGAAATCTGACTGAAAAGACAGCTATGTGGCGGGTCCTTAGAAATTTATAAAATATCATATTAAAAGGTTTAAACTGTTATGGAATACTTGACAGTTAAAGTAGCTAAGTCTCTAACTCAATATCATCCAAAATCTTCGACATTGAAAACACGATTTATTTGTCGGTTTAAATCAAGATTGATGTTGTGATCTTACCGGGAAAAGATGGCCTTCTGATATCCAATATTTAAGACAAAATAAACATTTTACAAATGGTACACGAATCGTGTACCATAATGCGTTTCAGCGCTATGTGTACCGGTAATAAGGGACTCGAAAAAAGAGGCTAGGCATATTCAACAAGTCATGTCAAATGGTGACGCTATATTCTTATCTGGAGAGCATGCCCAATAAATACTATCGGCGTAGACTGGAATAACCAGAAGCTAGAGATTGAAATTCGATTGAGAATACTGGCGTATGTCGCCGAACCTAACTAATTAGAAAAAACAGAAACGATTGAATGTAAATCAATTTATATACATTCATATTACATTATTGTATGCGTACCATCATAGGACAATATCTCTTGCTAAGTAGTAAATAGTAGTTCCAATACATGTATATGGTTTAGCTTCTGATTTCTAACTATTATTTCTATCTTTTTCATAAATTATATTATTTCTGCAGTGGTATATTGTAATAAAGTCCATTGTTTTTAGGTATTATGTACTGAAGTACCTTTTAATTAAAGAATGCAATAGTGACATCAATACTACCAGCTCTTTTAATATGGCATCTGCATAGTGATATTTTCAGTAAATTGGTCAAATTGACTGTGAACCATTTTCTACCCTTTACATTTAATAATTGCTGGTCCCTATTTAACTATTGATGTCATATTCACAGTCTTTATTATGTTTTAAAATGTTTGGAAAAGATCATTCTTATAGCCGACTTCATTATCTGTCTATTGTTGGATGTAGAAATATGTTGACCATCTCGGTTAACACTTACCCAGTGTATGTTATTAATACTGAATAACATGTTAATATATTATATTAATAAAACATATATGATTTATAATTATGGTATTCACATTTAATTTAAAAAAAATGTATCTTACTATATAAATAACATGTTCTCCCAAAAAGTATTAAAGCATGTATGATTATATATTTATGATACTAATATTTAACATTAAAAACTGAATAATATGGTTATGTCAAGTGTTGTGGTTTGCATCCAAAAAACATGTACATGAGTAGAGTGGTCTGCCTAACTGGGTTTTCTCCAGGTATTCTGTTCCTTTCAAAGACTCATGTCAGCAAGCAAATTACTGAAATAAAGATATACTATACGTCCTAATATGTACCTCCAAGGTGTTCCCACTTAGCCGGCAGGCTTTGATGTCAAATTTTGCCGCTAATCCAGAGTTAATCCTAGAACAATGGTGTTATAAACTATAGTCCATATCTTTTTTAAGACTAAAACTGTATTGATTTTAACAAATTTAACTTTTATTAAATAACATTAAATAGCTTACACATATAAAAATATATTGATTTTAACAAATTTAATATTTATTAAATAACATTAAATGATTTACACATATAAAAATGCATTACAATTTACACATTTAACTTTTATTTAATAGCATTATATAATTTATGAATAAATGCCTTACAACATAACAATCATTTTACAGATCGACCATCTATTTATATTAATATAGTGAATTGAATTCATGTTTGAAATCATAACGCCGACATGAACTGTGTTCAAAATGTCATTAATTAGTTGGTTAATAAATTTTATTAAGAGGGATTAAGAGCTCATTAACGGCAATAACGCTGAACATTAGTGAACAGTTCTTGAGTGACTACTTTTAAACAGACTATAGTTTTAAGATAAATCAAAGGATTAACAGTCTGCCGGCTAAGTGGGAACACACCTAAAGCACCGTATCACCTTAATCACCTACTTTCTTATCGGTATTATAATTAGTAGGATAACTGTGTTTCTTCTTATTTATCACCTTCACAATGATCAACCTAGGCCATTTTGTTTATAACCATTATAATGCCTTAACAATGAGTAGTTGTGACCTGCAATAATCACAACTATAATACTGATCACAGATGTTACAATCATACTTTGTGGCCTTAGCAATCACACTGAACATTTATGGCCATTGTCATCTCAATAGCATAATCATATAATCACAGCCATAATGACGACCCATTATGATCACAACCATAACAATGATTGTTTCATTATAACAATAACAACACCACATCATGTTTACAATCACCACCAAAATGCTAACAACTATGACACTGATCCTTATAAGCATGGCAATAAACCATTAATCTTCCATCATGATCACAACTATAACAATGATCCAACATGGTAATCCATCACGATCATAACCATAATGATCCATCACATCCATAACATTATTCACCTATTTTTTTCAGAAATAAACTGATTTATTGGGCTATCACTGTGATTAAAATGAACATTAAATTAATGCATCCAGTTCACAACCATAATCTTGACAATTTTATTCAAGATGATAATTGATTTCATTGTATAATATATAGAAGATTTTAAAAATCATTAGACAGCAAACTTATTCATATCTATTTAATTTATGATTCCAGTGCCAGTGGTTCCGGCTGGTATAACAGAAGAACATGGCCATAAAACAGGTGATAAAGGAAATCGTATTTATTCCGAAAAACTTGATCAATCCTCTCCTTCTTCAGCAGGTAATTTATATGCCTTGTTTTTAAATTTGGTAAATGAAATTTTAATAAAATTGTAATCAAAAATATTTATGCACTGTGTGTTATATATTGTTTTGTCATTTAGAGAATAATGTGGTAATTTTGTATGCTCATTGGGAACATACACAATATATGAATTAGAGAATTGCCATCTATAGGGTCTCTGCTTCAACTATAATGACTATGGTCTGGACAAAATAACACCAAATTGTGTTGTCAGAGGTCATACAGAGATTTTTGTTGTGTTTTTTTTATGATATGGTTGAGAAGAAAAATGAATTTTATCAAGTATTTAAAATATGCTGAATGCATTGGTAACTGGTGGATTGAGTCAGTATTTGCCCTAAGTCATCTATCTTCATTCCCTGTTGGTGCAGAACAATAAGCCCCGTTTCAATCCATTTCCCATAAGTCATTATGTGACCTGTGAAGACATACGATCGTTGATTAGATTTCTGTTTAAAGGTGGTGTCGTAGAAGAAACAGTTGGTAAAGTTGAAACGTTGTCAGTTCATTCAGTTCCACCCCCTTCAGCTACCACCACAGATACACTTCCTGGTATGTATATTCCTTTTAGAGATTCAACTTGAACAATATTGTAGTTTACAAGGGATAAAATACCTCAAATGATGATCAGAGACTTTAATCTAGCAAGGGTTGAGTTATCTTGCATGGAAAAGGAATCCAAGGTTTGTGAGGAAATTTGAGGTATAATATACAGATGAGTGTCTACTATACCTGGTAGTTAAAAGCGATTGTCAGCATATTACAAGTCTGTTAGCAAAATATCTATGAACTTATATTTTAGTATATAGTTCCTTTCATTTTCATGTTTTTAAAAAGTCATGTCCCTTTCCTCTAGATAAGAAAGAGTGTTGATATTTTAGCAAATACTTTGGGATGACAGTCAAATATCAACATAAGTTTGATGGCAATCTTACCCTCTGACATTTAAAAAAAACATTTGGAAAGGTCGGATCATTTTGGGATCAAAAGGTACCTGCTGGATGTATAAAAACAGTTTTGGGCTGTGTTTGCTGGGTGATACATGGTCCCTTATTTCATAAATATTAACTTTAATGTTCTAGCACCTGTTGTGGAAGAATCATTTGGTAAAACAGAATCATCAGTAGTAGAAGCTGGTCCACCTAGTTCTAATCAAAAACCAGGTAAAATTTTCAGCTTATTTCAGTTGTCAAACTAGCTGTATATAGTATGAATAAATTGGTTACCAGTGAACACAACATGTTCAATAAACACCAATCCATTTGTTTGCAATTTTGTATATTACATGCATTACAGATTACATAAACTTATTTTGTAATAAATTTTCACAGTGAAACCGGCTAAAGTAATACCTACAAAAGATCACCCTACAGGAGATAAAGGAAACAGAATTTATTCTGAAAAACTTGATCAGCTTAATAAACCTGATAAACATGCTCCTGGTAAGATACGTGTTGCTGTAATATTCTAATGCATACTAATCCTTTTATATAGAGTAGCATTGAGCATGTGTTTATGGTGATTAGTATTGAATCAATCTATAATCTGTTCTGCTTTAGTTGTATATTTCTACATGTGCATGTTGTATACACTGATTGCTTCACTATAACGCTGTTAATTTTTTGTATCTTTATTTCATTCTGGTTTTTGTTTCATTATGGTTTTAATTAGATGCAATGAATGTTGCCAAAGCCTAGTGGGAGCTACACTAGCCAAAGCTGTGATTTTATGGACATGTGATACCTTTGAGGAAGAATAATTATTTCACTTGTAAATACTTAGCTTGCAAATGAAGTGGTCAAAATGAAGTCCATTACTGTACTTGTTATGCTCATGTTTTCAGTTACCGTAAAGAATGATCTCTTGACAATAATTTAATCATTTTCTTTTTTGAATAGATATTATTTGTGCATGAAGCATTAGCTTTCAGTTCCTTTACAGACAGTACAGACATCTTTTTGCCTGTGGGCATGTTTGAAATCCACTTTTTTGGGGTCTCTATTTATATTTTACCATTAAATAGATTCTATTATGGTACATTAACAATAGCTTTAATAAGTGTAGAAAGAGTTACTCGCATTAGGGAAATAATTTTAATTTTAATTAAGAAAATACGTTTTTATATTCCCACATTTAATGTGTCACCTGTGTCCATGGGTCTTTCCAACTTTTAATGTAAACACCTTTCAGAGTTTTGTCCACATTTAAATTCGGACATAAAAACAATAACCCCTTTTGAATGCGTTATTCATGATTTGCGAATCACAGTTATTCTCCCATTTAAATTTAAATTTATAAGATTTTGTGAATGATCTACACAACAGTATTGTCAAACAAATGTGATTAAATTCAGAGACAATGCTATCAAATTTTTTAATGCATTATTTTCCTGATTATTAATTAGGATGTTGTGGCTTTGTAAGGATATCAATGTTGATATAGCTAGAAAAGGGAAAAAAAATTTGACATCTACTCTCCATTCATTTATCCCAGGTCAGGGCCCTTATTCACGAAAACTTAAACTAAGTTACAACCGAGATTTTAAGAAATACTGCAACTTCATTGGATATATGCAAATTGATTTTACTGGTCAGCCAATCGAATTGCAGTATTTCTTAAAATTTCGATTGTATCTTAGTTTAAGTTTTCGTGAAGAAGGGCCCATGTTTCATCTGGACATCCATGTATTAAAGGCTCAATACCACTCTTGTTGTAACTGAATAATATGTCCCAATCTTTATTCTGGTCAACAAATTGTACTGTTTTAGAATATTTCAATTAATTGATGATACAAATTTCATCTTAACACACCTTATTTAAAAAATTTGAAAAATTCAACATGATGGTTTGAAACGTCTAACGTAAACCTTTTCAAATGAAACTTCGATTTAAAAATATTTTCGAACCCTCTGGACAAGTAAAATAGGATGTAATGGTTAATTTACACAACAGGTAGGACACTTAAACATCTAGTACTTAGATAGAGATATTATTTATTTTCTGGAGCTTTCAAGCCAGCAAGAGTGTTATTGTCCCTTTAAATTAAAAATATATTCACTGTCTTAATTTATGTTTTTTTTCTGTGTTACTAACACTTAAATTTAACTGCATAACAAATTATTTGCTGTATATAATTTGTATCTATAACTTTCTCTTTTTCAACTTTTACCGTACTACAGTGATCTGATGTTTATATTGTTGAATACCTGTGCTGATTCTATTAGGAATTTTATTTCTATACTAAAACATATAGATATTGATAATAGATTGAATGAAAATTAAAATGAGTTAAAATAAAAAAATTGGGAGAAACTGACATAGTCACTTTATTTACCTTTATAAAAACTTTCTTTGAACTAGACCTTTCCAACTGAAAACATCTTCTAATGACTCCACTAAGTGGATTGTATTTTAAGAACATCTGATTTGAAAATGTAGGCAGATTTCCACTTTACAAATCAACACATCAAATTTCATTTCTTTCCCAAATGAAAGAGTTCTTATCAATTTAAGATCAGTGGCAATATTGCAGTTTGTAATCCATGTGGCAGGGACAGTAGAATTACAATAAATTATTTTGAAGTAAGCCCTGGATGTTAGTCTTGTATCAATATAAATATATTGTATTAAAGTGGCTGTAAGTAAAATAGACAAGAAGTCAGATCACATAGTGGGAGATAAAGGAAACAGATATTACACTGAGGAATTGGATAATCTTAAACCAGGTAAGATCATCAAGAAAATATGACATTTATTTGAAGAAGAAGCTAAATGAGATCCAAAGCAAATAAACAGTTATTCTCTTGATTTCCCTTACATTAGTTTGCATGGCTTCTGCAAGAAAAAGGAATACTTTTTCCCTTAGAGAGGCCTTGTCACTCATAATGAATTTAATAAAACATAAGTGTATCACAGTGTCAGATTGGCAGATTTATCTCAAATTAGCACAGAACTAGGTTAGATTATTAGTTTACTCAAATGTATAGATTTGTCTATGAAAATTCCCCTGATTCATTATGATAATCTAAACCTGTAGCAACTTATTTAATACGAGGTTGGAGCAGAACAGCAGTGTTTAAAACCCCATTTCATTCATTCATTAATTTGGATTCAGCTGAATTTATTCTGTGCCAAATTAAAGATGTATTATGTAAGAGCCAAATCTGCCTATTGCAGGTTTTTATTTTGGCTTCAAATGTTTTATAAATTTTTATTTAGACATTTATTCACATGACAAGCCTATAATCAACTTTTTGAAATATGATCGAAATTTAATGATTTAATTTAAAAATTGAGAAGCGAGCCACTTATATCAAGAACGGCCATCTCTTTATCTAAATCTTGCACAACGCATCTTTGATGTAGCACAATATGAAAGGCTTGTCCGAGAAACTATGTAAAGTATCTACAATAATATACTGACATTGATTTGATTGTTTTTCTTTTTCTTTTGCTTTGTATTGTCTATTTTTTTAAAATGTTTGAAACAGCAGTAAAGAAATAAGATGTACATATTTTACGAAGAAATTAAAATAGCTAAGTCCTATAAAATTATTCATCGATTTTCTAAAATGTCTAATTAGAATTTAGTTATATGAAATAGCTTTCTGTTTGCATTTTCAAAATCCTTTATTTTTATGAATCAAATATCTGCTATTTCAGTTGTAGCAGAATCTTTTGCAAAAACAGAATCGGTTGTAGCTCATGCAGCTCCACCTACAAATACCAAACCAGAAATTAAACCAAAGAAAACCCATGAAGTCCAAGCACCAAAACCCAAACCAGTAACCCCACACTTGACATCTGGCACAGCACATATAACAGGAGATAAAGGAAACAGATTATACTCTGAGAAACTCGACAAATCGAAGCCAACCGATCCTTTAAGGAGTAAGATTGATTAAATACGTGTTTATCTAATATATATGATATTATTCTTCCTCTTATTAAATCCTAATGCAGAGGTCCATTGTTTCTTAATGTCTTAGTCTTACTAAATAACTTGCTGAGTTCAATACATGTAAGGGGTCTAATTAATGCTGTGTAAAAGAAAGCTCCAGCCATTACCATCTGTTTATAAAATAAACATTATATAATATTAAAGGAGCTAAATCGCTAATATTTGGGACCTAGAAATTGACAAAAATGGGTCGCAACGCATATAATAATGTAATATGAATGTATATAAACTGATTTACATTCAATCGTTTCTGTTTTTACTGTAATTTCTAATCAGTTATGTTCGGCGAAATACGCCAGAAGTCTCATGTGAATGGCAATCTTTAGCGTCTGGTTTTCCCAGTCTACACCGAGGGTATTTATTGCGCATGCTCCCCAGATAAGAATATAGCTTCACCATTTGACATGACTTGTGGAATATGTGTAGCCCTGTTCTTTGAGTCCCCTGTTCAAAATGGCGCTGAAACACATTATGGTACACGATTCGTGTACCAATGGTAAAATGTTTATTTTGTCTTGAATATTGGATATCAGAAGCCCACCTTTTCCCTGTAAGATAACAAGACCAATGTTGATTTGAATTGACAAATAATTCGTGTTTTCAATGTCGAAGATTTTTGATGATATTGAGTTAGAGACATAGCTACTTTAAAATAATTTAAAAAATGTGCAACCTAAAATACAAATCATTCCAACTTTAATTTAGAAAGTAAAACACAGTATGTGATATTATCAGTCAAATTGTATAAACAAGTAGTTTTACATGCTATTCAATTTAATTCAAGTCAATTGTAGTATGAGTATTGTACATAAATAGCAACTAACAGTTACCCTTAGAGAATCAGAGTCACCATCTCAATTTCCTAAATAAGTGGAAATGGATTTGTAATAGATAATGAATAAAATATAAACAAATGGCAATGCCTGGAGTATTCTTTGATTATCTAATTCTTATAAACTTTGCTTGTAGAAAATCTTTACTATTTCTTTTGTTATATTATTTTTTTATATTTATTTAATCTTTTGTACATGGCTTAACAAAAAATTTACTGTATACTGCAGTTCTTTATATTGGTTAATTAAATTTCATTTTTTAATACTACTCTCTTTATTTATCATTTTTATACGCCAAGATGGAAATGTAGGCCAAGATGGAAATGTGGTCGTATATTGTCTTCGTCCCCGTCCGTCATCCACAATTTCTTGTGAACACTCTACAGACTACATTTATCATCTTATTATTTTGAAATTAAAACATATTATTTACATTAGTGAGATGAAGAATCCTGTTTAATTTCAATAATTTCCTTTAATTTTTTCTGTAGTTATGGCCCTTGTTTCACTTTGTTGCACCTTGTGTATGCTTTAACAACAAAAGTTATCATTTGATCTGTATGAAATTTATATTAGTGAAACAAAGACGTGTATTGAATTTTCAGCAATTTGTATTAATTACTTCCAGAGTTAAGGCCCTTGTTTCCATTTGAAGAACCTTGTGAACACTTAAACAAAGAAAATTATAATCTGATCTGTATGAAATTGTCATGTAAATGCCCCCCATTACATAATTATGAAACAAGCCTTATCGACCGCTCAGACGATTTAGCTGCTGTTTGTTGTATGCTTCATTGCCTATTTATTTATGGATTTCGGTGGGGGACATTAGCCTCACTGTTGGCTTGTTTTGGCTTGTTCTCTGTCCATCTCTGGCAAAATGTGGACGTATCTTGCATGGCAAACGCTAGTTCAGATTTCAAAGTACTATTCATCCTACATGTCTGTCCAGAATTAGGTTTGTATAAAGAAAAAAGATTTCAGTACAAAATTGCTTATAATTAACTCAATTACATGAAGGAAAAAAAACTCCTTACCTTTTAGACTGTTGTATAATTTCTTTAATCTGTGGAAAGCCATTAGAAAAAGTTCCTTCTTCAAACATTTTTCTTTTCTGTGAGATAAAATAGAAATTGAAATTGGCTCAATCATGAATCGTGTATACGAATTTCAAGCACAATTATCCTTGTGCAAGTTGTGGGTAGAAAAAAGGTTTTTTCCTTTGCTGAGGGAATTACTTGTCTGAAGCTTATCCTTTGAAAATTAAGATGAAAAACAGAATGAAAATGTCAGAACATAAAAAAAGTAACAGGCCAGTAATAGCTCAGGTTCTCTTGGTAATTTTATCACTGATTTCTTTTGGTACAATTTAGCATGTCATATATTTTCTTTATCATGCCATCTTTAATAAGTTTATTTATCGTAAAAATCTAATTCTGTACAGGGAAGTAAAAAAATTAGGTAATTTGGTTATACATGTATAATAAATATAGTAAAACATTTTCTTATGAGAATTTATTTATTACCAAATATTGTAGTGGTGTATATTTCCCTATTTTTTTGTTGTAAAGCATGTTCACACTTGATCTCCTCGCTGTGTTTTTGTATGAAATTTTCTTGTACATTGAAAAAAGGTGTTAAATAATAAAACTTTGAGTGATTTTTGATAATCTGTCAATGTTCATTTAGTCATGACACTTTCAACGTGGCATTACTGGATATATTAGAGTATTGATTAATGACAAACTGCAATATGAATGGCAGACTCAGTGGTTGATGCTCGCTTATTTAATTCATTGTGGGCTTTTACATTAGGCAATTTAAGTCTATAATATTTTTTTTTTATACACCAACATGGAAATGTGGTCATACTTTGCTATCATCTCTGCCCATTAGTCCATCTGTTCACAATTTTTTTATGTGAACACTCTACACATCCGATTTGTATGAAATGTATTTGCATTATTCAAATTATACAAAAGTAAAGTAAGCTATTGAATATCAACAATTTTCATTTATTATTTCTAGTGTTTTATAGAATCTTGTTAATGCTCCATGATGAACGTTATTATCCGGTTCCATTGGAAATTTATTTGTCAGAAATATTTTTGCATTACGCAGATTGGTTATATTATCTCCAATAATGACTACCAGTGTTACTTCTTAGATTCTTGTCTCAAATAAATAATCTCAGTTGCAAAATAAGTGAAGTACCCGGTATTATGTTGAGGAGATTTAACTCTATTTCTTTTCTTTCCTTAAATTACAGAAAAATGTAAAACATATTAAATCCCATTAGTATGTTTTGCTGTTAAAAGTATGTTATTTCTCAAATGCAAAAAAAGCAATGGAAGAAACAGTCATTTCTAATAGTGTTTGTGTTCTGAATGTTGTAATACTCTTAAAATCCTGTTTGTAGTATTTCAGCTATACAGTCCTTTGAAACACTGGAAACATGACTCTTGTAGAGGCGTATACAGAGGATCTCTCTACTTATAGCCTACTGTCAAATATTCTTATATATATATTTATATACATTACAGAACCTGTTGATGAAAAAGATGCAAAGAAAGAAAGTGATCATATTGTAGGAGATAAAGGTAATCCATACCATACAGCAGCACTAGATAATACAGGTTAGAATTTATTCTCTTTCTTTGTACTTCAAGATTACTAAAAACAAAAGTGGGTTTAAGTATGTTAAAGGGCATATGGCTCTATTTTTGGGAACCTTGAAATAGACGAGAATGATTCCAAAAGCACATATTAATTAATGCAGTATGAATGTATGTAAAGTTATTTATATTCAATTATATACATCAATATTGATTGAAATTCACCAATACTGAATTCTAATTAGTGTTTTTAATTTCGAATGTTATGGAAAATATTGAGTTAAGAGATTTAGCTCCTTTAATCAAGATGCCAAAATGTGACATAAAGTCAATTTCCATTTTTGTAACAGGTTACATAACCCATTTACTTACAAAAATGGGATGGAACCCCCGGTGTGCATAAATGAAAGGCCTTATGATCTACTCAACCACCTGTCTTGTATTCATGTTATAATACTACTTACTCACATCTGTCAGAAACTAAAAAGATTTTGTTTCTTTTTATCAGATAAACAAAAATCAGCTAAAGAGAACAAAGATGATAAGTCTTCTAAAGAATCTAACCCATCTTCTTCCAATCAGTTATCTTCTAATACTGACAAATCTAAAGCATTGTCTCAGAACTCCAATGACAAATCAACAAATCAGGTCTCAAACAGTACAGAAACAAAACCCAGATCTTCCACAAATGAAGAGAAGAAAAAGGATTCCAGTAATGAAATAATGGATAAGAAAAGTGAAGAAAGCAGGAAAACCAGAACAAGTTCATCAACATCTGTAGAAAACGTTCCAACCTTAGCAAACCGAGAACCACCACCACTCTTTGATGATGATGAAGACAGGTCAGCTTATTTCTAGTGTGGGCTGATGATAAAAAGCCATTTTTGTATGTCCCCATCTAAAGTATCTGATCGTCATTTTCATTTTTCGGGCAATCTCTAAATTTTCATGGCTTAATTATTTAACATTTAATTAAAACAAAAGTAGAATATCAACGGTAGATGATCTCCCTGCTTGCATTCAACTAGATTAAAAAAAGAGACCTATCAAAAGGTTTCATTGTTCATTACAGGTTGCGCTGGTTGATTTTGATTGTATTCTACATATGAACTGCCATGGATGCCAAATATTAACAAATTTTCAATTTATCAACCATTTTTAGACTGCTGTTCTTTTAAGAGATGGTTTCGAATCCCCGGTTGTACGTGACAAGGAGTAGGGTCGCCTGTCCAACCTGGTCGGTTTTCTCCGGGTGCTCCGGTTTCCTCCCACTGCTAAAGACCTCTACGCGCAAGTGAATTATTGAAATAAAATAAAACCTTATGTTAGTCCCGAAATGACCTGGTTTGTGTCGAGTGGACGTTAAACCTCATTTCTCTCTCTTTCTGGGGGGTTGGATGGATGAATGGTTAGCATGCGCGTGCTTTATCATAAAGTCTGTCATTGAGTCAACTGGCGTGGTTTCGAATCCCCGGTTGTACGTTACAAGGAGTAGGGTCGCCTGTCCAACCTCGTGGGTTTTCTCTGGGTCCTCCGGTTTCTTCCCACTGCTAAAGACCCCTACGCGCAAGCGAATTATTGAAATAAAATTAAACCATATGTTAGTCCCAAAATGACCTAGTTTTTTTTTGCGAGTGGACGTTAAACCCCATTTCTCTCTCTCTCTTTTTCTCTTTTAAGAGATTCAACTTTAACAATAGTTTGCAAGGGATTAAAATTTCCTCAAACCACAATTAGAGACTTGGTAAATCTATTGTTAAAGATAACATGTGTTTGTTATTTCAGTCCATTATTTGGAACAGATACAACTGTAAGGGATACATTTGGAACAGATTTTAAAGAAGATAAAACAAAGAAAGATAAAAAAGAAGTAAAGAAATCTGATAAAACAACGAATAAATTACCAAATAAAAATGACTTGGCTGATGATGATGTAAGTATAAGAATATAGTTTATAGTTTTAATGGATATATATTATATATGTTTATTAATTTATTAAACCTTTGGGGGATCAGTTGACAATTATTGAGAATGTTGTAGTGAACAGTAGATCTTCATTTTGTATTCAGGTAGTATGATTGCAGCTGTTTTCCACTCACTAGTAACTATCTCACCATAAAACTGTCTGGTATTTTTTCAGGATAAACAGCCTCCACCGCCTTTATTCGGAGATGATGATGATGAAGATGATTTAAACTGGCTAAGTTAGAATCACCATGACATTAAAAAACCTGTACATTTCTAACTACATATTTATTCATAACATGCTTGAAAATATACACCTACCTGAGAAAGAAGTTTGTCAAATTTAATGAAAGAGGTTTTTGTTTATAAAGCAATTAATCAAGTGCTGAATTGTTAAGGGGTTTGAAAAAGCAGGAGGATGTCCAGGAACAATACAGGAGAATCCAGGTTATTCACCAGATACCATTGTTTTTATACACCCACATTTTCGTGTGGATGTATATTGTCATAGCCCGTGTGTCCGTCCGTTCACATTTTGTTTGTGGACATTCTACAGGTCACAATTTTTATCGGATTTTAACGAAACTTGAAATATAGGTATATGTCTCCCACAGATCTTGGTTCCTTTCGAAATTCTAATGATGGTTGAGTTCAAATCTCGTGAAAACCGGACCGAAACTGCTTCATAAAATGGCTGCTACTTGTATGCAAATAGTGTAAAAGTATATAATGTAATACCAAGGTTGTGGACCCTCTAGAAGTCACAGTTTTTATCCGATCTTGATGAAACTTAAAATATCTGTTTAGATCTTGCTTCCTTTCAATATCGATGCATAACTTGTTTATGGACCCTTATTGTACAAAAAATCACATTTTTTTTAGCTTGCTCTCTGTCCATCTCTTGCAAAATGTGGGCATATCTTGCCTGGCAACAGCTGGTTATTCTTCATTAATATTCTGTTTACTTATGTATATTTTGTCTCAATAGTATCTACAGTCCTATGACCTTAAATGCTTGATGGTGTGTTTAGAGTCTTTTTGTTCATCAGCTTTGCCAAATCTAGTTTCAGATTTTACATGTATAAATCGGATATTGGACCACAAGCTATATACTGATTGTAGTACTACACACACTGTATAACACTTCTGTGTCTGTTTTCTTGCGCAAAACAAATGTAAATTTCTGAAAAGTTACACTTATATAGTGTTTTTCTCTACCCGTAAGCATTGTTAAAGTCTGATCAACATTTAGTAGTCTTATGAAAAATGAGAGTAATGGAACAAATCTTATATGTTACTTCATTTTATCAAGCTTGTTCATGAACTATTATTACAATGTGCTTTAATTACTTTCCAAGTATTATATTTAGTTCAATGACAAAAAATACACACACCTGTGTCCTGTCAAGTTTAATTTATCAGGTAGAAAATTATCAAACAGCATTGAGGAATTGCTATTTTCTGTAAAGAATGTCCTCCCATGTGTGGGAAAAATCAGGTCAGATGTGTGAATGTTGGTTTATGTGTACAGGATACACAGATATGAAGTTTAAAATTATGGCTTTATTTACAATTCAGAACATACACCTATACAGATTATATTATTTATTATACAACACATGCTATTCTATTTTATATAAACAATCACTTACATTAAAATACAGACTGTGTTATTTATGTACAATACAAACTATGTTATTTGTGTACAATACAGACTATTTTATTTGTGTACAATACAGACTATTTTATTTGTGTAATTGCAAGTGAATAGTTATTGCAAATATGTGCTAATAGATATTTAGTAATTAAATACTGCTTATAAATCATGAATTTCATTACTTTTAAAGTATAATTAAATTCTCAAGATTTTGTAAATTTTGAGAATTGAATATTGTAATATTTTTATTGTTCTGGTATATGTTATATGTACCCATTGCAGCTTAATACTCAGAAACGAAATTAGAATCCTATAAAAAACATTTTGGTTTAATTTGAAGGTTGTTGGAAATAATCATTTTGATGTTTGCCCTAATGGCACAGAAAAGTCCGCTTTATCAAGTTGATTTGCCATTTCAATTTTATTAAGAATTGGATGCATTGAGTAGGTATATATAAATATTTGGGAAAAACTGTAGTTAAATTTTCCATTAATAGATATCTAAAAAGCGAGTCAACTATAAGGTAAGCAGACTAGTCTAGATATGTTTATACATTCATAAATATCTGGTAACATTTTCCATACTGGAACACGTTTTGTTGCTTGTATTTGGGAGTTCATCCGCTGCACTCTGTATTTTGAATATAAATGGTTGGATCAATTGTGCTTGATTTTTTTTATATGCAAATGTTCATTTTAATTAGTAGTTCATGTATTATATATCGGTTATATTAATCATAATCATGGTCATATTTTTAAAAAAAGAATATTGTAATTACTAGATTATATATAACATAAATTTGTACATTTTGAATAATGTATATAAATTAGTTTAACCAATGGTGTAAACATAATATATACAAAAATACACATACAATATCTATAATGATTATAATATTATATGATGGAATTGTGACAAGTGCTTTATTTTAATAATCTGATAACAGAAAACTCAATAAAACATCAAATATGTTTTCTTATTATTTTCCTGAATGTCTATGTATGGAATTACTTAGTACTGATGTCTGTCGTCCACAAGGCATGACATGCTTACTCGTAGAACCATTTTCCTTCGTCTTAGCTTAACTTGAAATATGTTGGAAATGATGCCTACAGCGTGGAGCAGTAGCTGGTCTTGCAGTTTAACTTTTCCCTGTTTAAATGTCAGCCACCAGATAGTCTGTAGGCTTGACATGTGAATAAATGTCTAAATAATAATTTATATAACATTTAAAGCCAAAAAGAAAACTTGCAATAGGGAGAATTAGCAGTTACATAATGTATCCATTTGGTTTTCATATGGTATCTATTTTGAAACTTAATAAAAGTGCAATATCATTACAGAAAACAATAATCAAATACCAGTAAAGTTAGCTAAGGAAAACAAGCCAGCAGTGAGGTCTGATGTCCCCCACCGAAATCCCAAAATAAATAGATGACACATATTAAAATTAATTGCACATTTATTTTTTTCAAAAGTATCAAGCAATCAAACTGATTATCAACAATACACTAAGTTTCATCACTCTCTATCAGATGGAATCAAAGTTATCTTGTCCCAAAGCACCGACCAATGAAATTGCTTAGCTTTAGCTTGAAATGTTAATCATTGAACTCAGTCAAGACATTCACCTAATGAACATCTACAATCTACATCAAGTTTAAACATTCTATCTCAATTAAAAGCAAGGTTGTTATGTTCAAAAGTCTTGACCAATCAAATTGCTTATCGCTCCTTAGCCTAAGCAGAAAATTCTCATCATCGAACTTGGTCAAGGTAATGATATGATGACTCTACTCAGAGTTTCATCACTCTCACTTAATTATAACCAAAGATATCGTGCCCCAAAGCATCAACCAATCAAATTGCTTATCTCTGTTTACCCTACGCAGAAAATGCTCATCTTCGAACTCCGTCAAGGCATTCACCTAATAAACACCTTCACCAAGTTTGAACATTCTAGCTCAATTAGAATGAGAGTTATTGTGTCCCAAAAAGTGTGACGGACAGACGGAAAGGCAGCCGGACGAACCCATTTTAATAGTCCCCTGCTTTCTTCGAAAGGCGGGGGAATATAATAACACCTTATGAATCCCACGTAATTGATTTAATTTATATTATTGACAGTGAATATGATACAGACTGTACTACCCACTAACTCCATTAACGATGCATTATGTAAGAATTTGATAAAGAGCTGACAGTTCTTGCTAAAATAACGAAAAGGGAATATATTGATGAAATTTCAGACAAATTACTTCATTCTAGACGAAGTTATCACCATTCGAAGAATAGTGTAGTTTCAATTGTCATTGTTACCTTTGTTACAATAATAAACAAAGTCCCAATTATCCACTTCCTAATTAAATTAGTAATAAACGATTGTGTTTAAATCCGCTGAAAATCACAGCCATCCAATGCTCTAGAAAGTTAAGTATGGGCTTGACATATGAATAAATGTCAAATTAATGACATATCACATTTGACGTCGAAATGAAATAGGAAGAATTAGCTCTTAAATAATGCATCTTCAACTACTATAACAAACAAGAATATATCCATGGCAAATCCAAATTCTTTGAACAATCAATAATTTGAATTAACAAAGTCGAGCTTAGTATTTGATGGCTTAGATGCTTGCTTCAATTGTTATAGTAATATGATGAGATGATCATAAGAAACCTTTCAGCCATTTCTGTTTGCAAATGTTATTTTTACCCTATGTCCTACTGAAAGTTGAACTCACACGTCTCGAAGTGATTTCTGTCTAGTCACGCGGTGTGATAGCACTCAGAACACGAGTTCATAAATAGCCATCGCACGTGAAATTCTCTACACATCTATCAACTATTACAGCCGTAAATAATCTATTGTTGACGATTCTCAATAACAGTAATATTTAGCTTTTGGTTATTACAGCAACTTAAGAAATTACGTTCGTTTTATTTTGCGGCATCTTTTGGTTTAGTACAAATAATATCTCTGAAACACCCGGGTTAGGCAAGAACATGATACTAGCAGTAGTTTCATTTTACTTTTACAAGGTTCTTAAAACAATTGTTAAGTTGTCTAAAGTGCGTGTTTCTAAACTCAATTTCTTGTTCCAGTTCTTTGTTATGTTTCGTAAGCAAGCGGTTGCCATGCAAGATACGCCTACATTTTGCAAGAGATGGGCTGAGAACGAGCTAAAAAAATAATTTGATTTTTTGGACAATCAGTGGCCATAATCCAGGAAGATATGGTCTGATATGCGCGAATATCGAAAGTAACCGAGATCTTTGGGTTATGAACATGCATTTCAAGTTTCGTCAAAATCGGATGAAAATTGTAACCTCTAGAGGGTCCGCAACCTTCATATTACACACTTTTACACAATTTACGTACAAAGAGCGCCCATTTTGTTGGGCAGTTTCAATTCAAATTCAATTCGAATTCAACCTTCATTATGGTGGAATGGTGATATATTTTAAACGGTTTTTAAAATCGGAAAAAAACCAATTGTGACATCTAGAGAATCCGGAAGCTAAAAATGCGATTTTTCGAACAATCAGGGGCCATAATCCAGGAAGTTAAGTTTGGATATGCGCGATTATCAAAAGGAACCAAGATCTTAGTGTGTAACGATGATATATTCAGTGTTCTGCTGCCTTCCATGACGGAGTTCGACCACCCCGTTCCGGAACCCTGTAGAGGCTACACCTTTAATGTACTATTTTTCAAATCTGTTTTTAAGTATTGTGGGTCATAAAGTACGAACCCGATCGATATTCACCAATCCCCGACGGTGTTATCCGGAAAGGTAGGACGCCCGCTTCCGCCCAAAAACACTGACGAAACGGGAATGTTACGTTGACTGAAACATAGGGGTAATATAGGTGTGCAGTAGATGTCCTATAGTCCCCTTATTGTATATTTTAGGTGGATACGAATTTCTATATGGTATAGGACTGTCCTCGTGTAGAAAACCACTGGCTAGTCGTGTTCGTTGAATCACTAAATTAAACTATCAATGTATTTTTTTTTCATCTGACGTACCTTTACGTAAATTTCGTGATCATTTCCAAATGACTCCGTATTTTGAGGTACACCACACGAGGTAAATTAATAGGTCATTGCTTTACTTTTCTGGTGACAAACAACTTAACCTACAACAAGGTGTAATGAACATATAATTGGGAATCACGGTAGCCCTAAAATGGGCGGTTAGATCTGATATGGAGAACATTATCTTGGCAAGAAAAACATCATTTAATACTTTGAAAGAGAAATGTTTTCAGCTTTCACCGGATAGACATGTCATTGACAGAGACGGGTATTATGGCAGCCGGAAATCAATGAAAGAAAGCCTTGGCTACTACGTCAATAAATGTCTTCGAGAAACAATAATAATTAGAACTGTCCAAGTAAAGACAAATACGCCTACGTCATCATTTTATGTGTCGATGAGAGGAGTGAAGATAAAAACAGCTGGTTGTTATGCTTCACTGTTATGTTGGCGAGTAGCCTACAATTAGTATACTTGGCTCGTCCAATACGACTGTCTCACCGTAGTTACATGGTTTCGGGTACTAATTAGATCCGTTTCTTAACGACCGGTATTATATGAATATGGAAAAGGGCTAAATCTTGAATCACGAATTCATTTAAAGATGTCTGTTCTTTTAAAATATAACCGATAAGCAAGGATTTTTTTTTTCAATTGAAAATGTGAACATTAGCCTCGTATGCCTATATACTTGATTGCCACATTGACATTATATTAACAGGGTGTGGGACCAATTGTATAGTATAGCATATATAGAACAGCCTATAACATCAGATAAAGCATCAAATACGTGATGCGTTGGATCTGCAGAAGTTAACCGCAATAAGAACGACCCCATGGGGCTTATATATCGGTCTTACAACCAGACATTCTAATTAACGCCTTAATCCTTCTTGGTTTTCTCGCAATAAGACCAAACTTATAAATCGGTAATGAGTATAGAGTTCCCAATAAAGGATTAGAACTCGGGGGCGGGTTAATTTGAGTATTCGAAATACATTCAAGTTATCTCTAGTCTTATTTATTTGACAAATTATAAATGACCCTGGGTGGCAATTAGCCAGCCCAATTATATATATTGGCCGTATATCTATACATTTACTAAGAGCCGGGGATAATAATTATTAAAGATACAAGTAATGCGGTTGTTAAGGATGTATATAACAGTTTCGAAATACTGTACCTTTTATTTACCATGGCACAACATCACCTGTCTCGATGTAGGTCTGACAGACGAGCCAGACACATTGCCACTCTTACAATTTCGCCAAAGAAACATACGGCTTTCAAGTGAAAAATTTGAAAAACCTACAACGAAAAGCGACTACAATACAACATTGATTATACGTTCTATTTTACTTTTGTCACATTGTTTAACATGCCGTGACTGTCTTTGAAATATTGTTTAAGTATTTGTATCCTCAATCATTAACTCGTGTAGGTTCAATTCAAGCAGAAACAATTATATATACATCAGGTATATTTATCTTATAACATTATCATCAAAACAAAATTCATGTTATATGAAAAGGTCGAGTTAGCGTGCACGCCCACTTACGGCTGCACTTGATTTTTTTTTATAGGTTTTAGCCCGTAAACATCACTGATACGTACTAAATTTATACAAATTATAAAATAAATAAATAACTACATTTCGTCCGAAAGTATTACCTCGTCCTGTTGATCAGATCATATTGCTGGGCATCATATAAAAAAACCTCGGCATACATGATTACTCATATTGATTACTTTGTACAAGAACCAGTAACTTGCATGGTCAATTAAACATCGATTAAGTAGGAAAACTCTAAGCAGTATCTATAAGTGTTTCATTTTACAAATTTTGACTATTCTGATTGCGTTTGGATAAAGTGTATGAAAGATGACCCTGATTTGTTAAGAAATCTGCATTTGAATGTCCTGCGAACTAT